CAAAACGTAAAGAAAGTAAACAAAACACATAAATACAAAGAAAACATTTAATTAAAAAATATAATAAAGTCAATGTGATCTTGGCATTGCATTTCATTGGCCAGAGCTTCATAATTAGGAGCGTATGACGATAATCCTGTTTGCAGACCATCATAAAGATGCTCATCGGTGAGTCGAGATCTATATCTCGATTTTATTAAGTTGATGTTTGAAAACAATGATTCGCATAAATATGTCGAACCGAAAAATGATTCAATTTTATATGCGCTTTTTTCAACAATGGGAACTTTTCTCACTTCGGGTTTTCTGAGTGTACGAGGTGTAATGTGCAAATAGCACTAGCCGTTCCAGGCTAGCGTAAATAGTGCAGTCTGGCTCGCCGCTAGACAAGTTGGGACAAGAATCGAACATATTTAATAAACCTAGGCAGTCAAAAAAAAACTGTAAAAAATTAATAAAAATAAATCATATTTTAAAATATTGTTTATGAAAAAAATTCTGTCTCTGTCGAATATTGAGAGGCGGGCACATACGAATCGTTCAGCGGGCGCCATGGCGCCCGCGGGCACAGGGTTGGGAACCCCTGTTCTACAGCAATACACCAAAATACTTTAATTGATTTGTCAAGCTTTTGTTCACAATCACCGAGCAAACCAAGCATCTTAATCAGATTATCTCAGTTCTTGATTATTCAACAGTACACTTTGTAAAATATGAAATGAATCGTTCTGTTGGCTGTCTATAGCTGTATATCTAGCTATATCTGCCTCTGTAAGCAATATTTTAAACTGTCGGATAGTTGTTAATATCTCATGTACTTGTTCAGTTAGCTGGCCATGGAACAGCTATCCTGTTAGCTGGCAAAAGAGAACTAGTGTTCTTTCAGCTGACCATAGAACTCGTGTTCTGTTAGTTGGTCCTCAGAAGTAGTGTACTTTGTTTCGGCCATAGAAATATTAAATTGTTTTTGGCCATAAAACCAGGGTTCTATTATTTGACTATAGGAGTTAAAGAAAATACTGAAATGATCATCTACCAAACTTTAAAACATCGTTACCAGATGACACCGAAAATTGAACGCTTCGTTGCAGGGACATGAAAAGGACACGTTTTCCAAAAGATCAATGAAAAACCTGTCTCACTCTACAGCAGGGGTTCCCAGCCTTTTTTTTTACTCTAGAGCACATTTTAAAAATCGGTAGGGTGGCGGGCACCACCTATTTTAAATCGACAAACTCCTTCCATAACTTGTCATTTTCCCATAATTTATTTCCTTATTTTCTTATAGTCATAATGTATTAATAAATAATAAACATTAATGTTTCAAAATAATAAAATTATTTGGCATTTTTTTTTCAAATTGCATACACACAGAGAAATGTATTTACAAAACGTAAAGAAAGTAAACAAAACACATACATACAAATAACACATTTAAATAAAAACATATAATAAAGTCAATGTGAGTTTTGGCATTGCATTTCATTGGCCAGAGCTTTATAATTAGGAGCGTATGACGATAATCCTGTTAGCAGACCATCATAAAGATGCTCATCGGTGAGTCGAGATCTATATCTTGATTTTATTAAGTTCATGTTTGAAAACAATGATTTGCATAAATATGTCGAACCGAAAAATGATTCAATTTTATATGCGCTTTTTTCAACAATGGGAACTTTTCTCACTTCGGGTTTTCTGAGTGTACGAGGTGTAATGTGCAAATAGCACTAGCCGTTCCAGGCTAGCGTAAATAGTTCAGTCTGGCTCGCCGCTAGACAAGTTGGGACAAGTATCGAACATATTTAATAAACCTAGGCAGTAAAAAAAAAATGTAAAAAATTAATAAAAATAAATCATGTTTTAAAATAATGTTTATGAAAAAAATTCTGTCTCTGTCGAATATTGAGAGGCGGGCACATACGAATCGTTCAGCGGGCGCCATGGCGCCCGCGGGCACAGGGTTGGGAACCCCTGTTCTACAGCAATACACCAAAATACTTTAATTGATTTGTCAAGCTTTTGTTCACAATCACCGAGCAAACCAAGCATCTTAATCAGATTATCTCAGTTCTTGATTATTCAACAGTACACTTTGTAAAATATGAAATGAATCGTTGTTTGTGTTGGCTGGCTATAGCTGTATATCTAGCTATATCTGCCTCTGTAAGCAACATTTTAAACTGTCGGTTAGTTGTTAATATCTCATGTACTTGTTCATTTAGCTGGCCATGGAATTGCTGTTCCGTTAGCTGTCCATATAACGTCAGTTCTGTTAGCTGGCCAATTTCTGGCCAAAGAACTGCTATTCTTTAACTGGCCATAGAACTGCTATTTTTTAACTGGCCATAGAACTATTGTTCTTTTAGCTGACCAAAGTACTGCTAATCAATTAGCTGGCTATAGAACTGCTATTTAGTTTATGGCCGTAGAACTGCTGCTCTGTTAACTGGCCATAAAACTGCTGTTCTTTTAGCTGGCCGTAGAACAGCGGTTCTGTTCTTTTAGCTGGCCAGAGAACTGCTGTTCTGTTCTTTTAGCTAGCCATAGAACTGCTGTTCTGTTCTGTTAACTCGACATAGAACAAATGTTCTGTTAGCTGTTCGTAGAACTAGTTTTTTCTTTTGAATGGCCATTTAACTAGTGCACTGCTAGCTTGCCATAGAAATAGTGCTATGTTAGATGACCGTAGAAATACTGCTGTTTAGATTGGCAACAGAATAAGTGTTCTGTTACTTGGCTATAGAAACAGAACTCTTTTAATTGTCTATAGAAATGTGCTCTGTTAGTTAGCTATAGAAATAGTGCTCTTTTAGTTGGCTATAGAAATAGTGCTCTTCTAGTTGGCTATAGAAATAGTGCTCTTTTACTTGGCTATAGAAATAGAGCTTTTAGGTGGGTATAGAAATAGTGCTCTTTAAGTTGTCTATAGAAATAGTGCTCTTTTACTTGGCAATAGAAATAGTGCTCTTCTAGTTGGCTATATAAATAGTGCTCTTTTAGTTGGCTATAGAAATAGTGCTATTTTGTTGGCTATAGAAATATTGTTCTTTTAGATTATATATATATATATATATGTATATATATATATATATATATATATATACATATATATATATATATATATATATATATATATATATATATATATATATATATAATTTACCTTTATATCAAACTTTGATGTAAAACTGAGATGATGTCGATCTTGTTTGGTACATAATGATATGTAATAATATATTTTTTCTAATCCACTTGTATTTTTAGTCAGCTAACTCTATTTTTTTTTGTGCCTTACTTCTAAATTAGCTGTGAAATTCCATCCAGATTCGATAATATACGATGGTGAACAGGTTTAATAATAGCCTGAGGAAAGGGGAAAAGGGGACGGCGTGGTCGGATGGAAGAACGTAGCCCAATAAATTGCAGCTTTCGAATCCAGGGTTCATGTCCGTAGAACGTCCCTGAGTCCACCCAGTTCTGATGAGCACCTGGCTCACTCTAGGGAAAATACTTTTTTAAATCTTTGTCGGGCATTTTATTATTGAATGTATAGTAATGATACAATAGCTAACGAGCTATACCTAGATGTGTTCCCATAGCTGTTATCAATGCAATACCAATCAGCAGTGTTTGATTTTCAGTTTTCTCTCATAGATTGGTTAGAGGGGCGGGAAGGGGAATTATCAAGTGTAGATTTAGGGGGTAATCAGAGACGCATTGCAACTCTAGCCAGGGGGCAACATCGCGACTTGCTGGTTAGTAGTCGAATGCTCTACCATTAGACCATACCGTCTCTCCTATGTGGTGGTAATACATTAATTACCAGTGGTTAATTAACCTATGGTAATGTCTTTGACATTTAAAGAAGAGCAGCAAAAAATGACAGTAGATGTTAAAAAACAGCTTTGAGAAATGGAACACAATACAAAGAACGAATTTTAATGCAAACTGCATGAGAGCATTATGACTGTCAGATCTCGACAATTGGTTTATTTTTTCTCTCTTCATATTCTTAATTTTTAATATTGGGAGGGATTCCCTCTAACAAAATTAAGTATTATGCGCCATATACGCCACTGAATCTTTCTGGATTTGCCTCCATAGCCTTTGTCCAACCAAGAACAAACTACAAGGCAGCATTTGTTTGATTTTGGAGTTGTCTCTCCTAGAAGAGTTGCTGTCCCCAGCTATAGAGCCTCATCAGCCCGGGTATTCGAACTCGAGACTTTACACCGACTTTACCGACTCGACCACGCCGATCCATTTCTAAAATATTTTACATTTGTAAAAATGTAGATTGATGAGGTATTTTTGTCAAATTTTACTAAATTCTGACCAATTTCAAATACAGCGGTGCAATTTCCCAGAAACATTAGATACTTTTCGATGACAACTGAAGAATATTTATTTTCAATCCAATAAGAGATTAAATAAAGAATTAAACATTTATTTGAATATTCAATAACAAGTAATGAGATGGTGGGATTAAGTACAAGCGATCGCTCGATAAATCGATTTACTGAGATAGGTTGTGTTCACTATGTTTCAACTTCTGAGAAACGACCACGGACGACAATTTGGGACTAATGATAGCCCTTTTTATTTTTGTTTAATTTTTGCATGTTCAATAAAATGTATTCTAAAATACCGTGGATGCTAAACTTGTCCTAGATAATATAGAACGTTGCGGTCAGGTGGTAGAGCGCATGACAGCAGACTCGAAAGTATCGAGTTCAAATTCCTAAGTCCCTGACAAAGCTCTTATTTTGCCGCAGTCATATCATTATGTAAACTCAACTTTGCCTTCGCCATTCACAGTACTTTACTGAAACAGTAGGTCTCGTTGATTTATCGGTTCATTTTATAGGCCTAAAGAGATGAGATTTCCCTTATTAATCAAACACTAATCATAATATCATCCGCCAGTGTATGCTCTTTACATCTTCATACAATTATTATTTCACTAGGAGCTCCATGCTTTCGCAGGTAAGGTAATCTGTATCTGCATTGTCTTTATTTTTACAAGCTTTTATTTAACTCACTTCCTCTGTCGTCAGTCTGTCTAGATCGAAACGCCTGAGCGAAATTGCAGGCACTTCTAACTGACAGATACGGTTCGTAGTTGGTACGTGGGTCAAGACATGAAGACAATGCTTCATGACATTCAATTTGACTTAATTGGATACCTAATTATTTAACGAATGCAATCGAATCCCAGAGCACATTTACCAATCCCATCAGGGGTGGCTCCGCTGTGTGGGTGGTACCACATGGGACCGTATATCCCAAACACTTCTGCCAGACTGACCCCTCGCCCCAGGATCAGCACCGAGGCGCCGCTGCTGCCCCGGCAGGTCGGGGTGTCGTAGGTGTACTCAGTCATCTCCGTGTTGTACGCGTCCCCGACAAATAGGTCGTGAACTTTTCTTTCCAGCCATTTCCCCAGGCTGATTCTCTTACTGTACCCGTGGGGATGCGAGACGATGACCGCTAGAGGCGGGCAGGCATGGTCATCAGTGCGGTGATGGTTTAACGTTTTTCTCAACGCGCTGAATTTCTCAAGGGCGACGTGGAGCTTTTGACCGAGTTCTTTATCGTGTGTGAACGCTTCCACTTCACACCAATCGCAGTCGAAGTTGCTTTCTAAAACTTTCAACCCAAATAAAACATTACCCTTTTTCTTGAGTGTATCCTCAACGCATTTTTCAATCGATTTCTCGTCGTCGTCTTCATCATAAAACGCCTCTATCGTACAATTTTTCGCTTCATCGTCATCGAACACAACATGCTTCGCCGTCCGCATTCTGACAATCCACCATCTTGTTCGTTTTTCAGCATCCGGGTTATCAAGACACTCATGACAAGAGCAGGATAAACCTACACGATCCCTGAACCCGCAGTGGTAAACAAAGCCAGTTCCAGTGTGGGTTGTAGTCTGTCCTCCATAGTTTGAGAAAATGTATCCCTTGGGTCGTTTAAAACTGGTGTAGTTGACGTTCACTCGAACAGTGAGTTCGGCAATGGAGGTGATGAGTTTGAGAATGTCCTGGTCCTGGTAGGACTTGGGCAGATGTTGGAGGTGAAAGTCCTGGCACTTGATGAACCCGTGGTGCCCTGGGTTCTTGTGGCATGTGTGCCAGCGTGAGGTGCCGTCCGTTCCTTCTGTCCACACTTCACATTCATGATCTCCTGACAGTAAAAATACAAAGTTCATGTATGTTTGTAGAAAAAAAAAATAATAGTAAAATTATATGTACATCACAAGAACCAGTAGTAAATCATAAGGGGCGTCCATAAGTCATATGGGCCCGTCCTTAAATCACATTGTTTTCTTCTTCTTCTCTTAACCCCATTCGTGCCCAAGACACATAGGGCAGATGAAGTAGAGTTCATCTGATTCGTTGACGTCGGTATGAAGGGATAGTGTGGCCAGATCTGTTTCCCTAACGTGAGTTTGGTACCCATCAGAACTGGGTGGACTCAGAGACGTTCCACTTATTTGAACCCGGATTTGAACTCGAGACTCTCGGGTTAGCAGTCTAGCTCTCTACCGCTACGCCACGAATTATAATTCTACGAGCCGGCCCGCGGCATAACATACGCCGCTATTTAGTTGTTGTTTTTTCTACTTTTCAGCAATTCATAATTTGTGAATTCGACAGTACCAACGCTGACACTGGAAATATTTCTTTAAAACACTATAAGTAGCTCGTTAAAGACCATAACCCCCCCCCTTCCTTCTTCCCCCCTCCCCCCCCCCCCCCCCCCAATGTTTAAAATCGTTTCAAACTAAATTATCTGCCCCTAATAGCCGTCACTAAACCCGACTCCACGAAGGTAAACATAGCGTGAATCACAGCTCACTAAGACCATGTAGGGGTGGGGATGGTAGGGAGCGCGTTTACAGCTTGTTTTCTAGCGTCTCCCAGAAGAGAATTATATATATATATAGATTATATAAGTATATATTACTTTCCTTAGTCTTGCTAAGCCGCACATAATATATTAGCCTATATAATGTTTGCATTGAAAAAGAAAAAACAATACCTTGGTCGTCTCCCTTAGAACTTATTTTTATTTCCTTTTTTTCCGTAGATCTTTGCATATTGTGGATAAGATTTGCGAAAACACAATGTTCGTTAAACCCTGTTACTTTTAACAAACATCTACACCATCGGTAAGGCCTATACAAGAGGCTATGGGTCTGGTTTTAAGTTGGTAGGCCTACAGCTAATATGACGAATATGACCTACTTTATTAGTCTACTCTCTACATGGCGTAAACAAGCGAACACAATGACCTAGATAACACATCCGTTTCGTGTGTCACTTTTCGTCTGTAGGCCTACAAACGAATCTTCTCTTTGTTAATTTTAGGACAAGTGGTGGGACTATTAATGAATCTGTAATACAAATTATAGGCCTACAATACAGTAGGGTTTACGATAGTTGGGGGTGGGCGGCGATGGGATTAAGATGGGGAAAAACAGGGAGGGGGGGTAGAGGGGGGGGGGGCAAAATTCGAAGATAAATTAAATAAAATTTAAATTTAAAAATTCTAGTTTTCATGCATATTAGACTTCATGTTGGTTTTGTAAATAGTATCATAACTTTAGTTACGTTATCGTTATTCTGCAATTACTAGCTATAACACGATGTTGCGTAGTAAAAACAAAACTAAAAACTATATTGTAGTGCATCAGACTGACAAACATTCATAGGATTTCCATACCTTATAGCTCTCCTTTTAATTAAATAGCCGAATAGGGGGCGGCGCCATAACACGTTTACGAAAAGTACAATGCGTGGAGCTCTAATGAATTTATATAGAAAATATATACTTTTGTACTTTTGACAGTGTCCGCCCCCCCCCCCCCCCCCCACCCAGGAAATTGTCCGACCGTCCGCCCCCCCCCCCCCATAAAATTTCAAGTGCCCCCCCCCCCCCCGAGATAAAAATGTCTGGAAGAAGTACTGATTTTCAATTTGAGGACAGTCCCGAATAAAGTCTACCGCCCCCCCCCCCCCTGAACGAAATGGAATTTATATAGAACATATATACTATTGACAGTGTCCACCCCCCACCCCCGGAAATTTCAAGTGCCCCCCCTCCCCGGAGATAAAAGTCTGGAAGAAACACTGATTTCCAGTTTGAGGACATTCCTATATAGAATGTGATTGACACATGGCCAGTGTTAATCAAAAGCTTTCAGCAGAATGGCTAGCAGACTAGAAGCAAGTTACTAAACCAGTGACACAAAACATCATCAATATGACAAGTGATGTGCTTCTGAAACTCACAGAAATACACAGTGTAAAGGATAAACCACACTTTTAATTTATCATGCACAGAGAGAGAGAGAGAGAGTTGGAATTAACAGTACAGTCTTATACCCGGTACTCCCCGACAGACCAGACAGTGGCGTAGGCAAGGGGGGTTGGGGGGGGGGTTATAACCCCCCCCCCCCCCCATGGACCCCTATATATATATATGTATATATATATATATATATATATATATATATATATATATATATATATATATATATATATATATATATATATATATATATATTAGATTATATACATATGAAAAATGTTTGAACCTCTCCCATGACCAATTCCTGGCTACGCCACTGAGACCAGATCATCCAATTGTGCTGCAAGTGACAAACCATGCTCACGATGCCCGAGTCGCTCTCTTGTCTGACCACCCTAAACAATCTTACACAGCTTGCTGCCTGGTCTAAAATCTAAAGACATTCACGCTAAAACAATAGGTATGTGAACAAAACAAATCATTCTTTGAAAAACTGCCAACAGATAAACTGAACAACCCTGAGTCAGAATGTGAAACCAGCGTGAAATTATGACATTGCCATCTGATGTTTAATACTATAGGTCCATGGCTATCAGTATTAGAATAATAAACGATTTTCCAATACATATTGTGTGATTTTTCAATGCTTAAGCGCGAATTAAGTAGCATTTCAAAGGAAAAGGACATATGTCCAAAATGGGTACGCATTTACAAAAAAAACAAAGTGTTCTGAACACTTGGTTCGACTTAGATCTTGTCACTAAATGAATACATTATTTATCAAGGATTGAACCAATTTCATTTAAAATTAATTTTAATTAAAAACGCTACGCATGTGAGCTATACCAGAGGCTGCAAACATTAAATTTCGTTTTTCTCGAAAGTGAAAAAGTGAGATAACTTGTTTAGCCCCTGTGGTCTTCAGATAGATTCAGACTATGACTACCATCAGTGTTTTTTCTTCCAGACTTTTTACTCCGGGGGATGGGGGGGGGGGGGGGGTCAACATTTTCCGGGGGAAGGAGCGGACACTAGTAAAAGTATATGTTTACTATATCAATTCCATCTCGTTCGGGGGGGGGTAGACTTTCTTCGCGAAGAGCTGCCTGAAGAAACTCTGACTACTATGAGACCAAAAATTGATTGTTGAGATACATTTTAGTGAGTCTGTTGGAAAATGAAGGAGTGAATTTTATTTGTTTTTTCATGTGATATAATGTGACTTGTGTTCTAATATAAATTTAGTATAGCCCTATACGACTATAAAAAGTAAAAATTTTGCGCTTAGAAAAACAAAACAAAAAATTAACATCATAATGTATTTCTAATAAACGATGTAATAGATTGAGTTAATTGTGAGGTCAAGGGAACTCACTCTCTGTATTAGTATTATATTTATATTGTTATCTTGAGTGATGTCCCTTACATGTTGTTATCTATATATAGTTGTCTCTGGCCACTTCTTCCTCTTCCTCTCTTTGCAACATGGCGTCTGTACATAATAAAGACTGTTAACAACCAACGCGGCTTCTCGTCAGTCATTACAATCCACGTCATTTGGCGACGAAGGATAAACATCTACTAGAAAGAGCACCTATCTACGCAAAAAAGAGGTTTGCTAGAGCTTATTAGCTAATTATTTCTAGAATTATGGCGCTGTATGGCCAAATAAAAGAATTTGATGCGAATGATGAAATCATTCAAGATTACCTAGAGAGGTTAAGCTTTTACCTAGAAGCTAACGACGTGACGATAGAAGCCAAAAAGAGAGCTGTTTTGTTAACAGTCATAGGGCCTCAACAATTTGGGCTACTAAAAGACTTATGCACACCGGCTAGTCTAACTACCAAGAGCTTTAACGAGCTGAGCAAATTGCTAACAGACCACCATGCGCCTACCCCATCAAAGTTTCTATGTAGAGCTAGATTTGACAGTAGGACTCGTCAACCAAACGAGTCAATAACAGAATATGTTGCTGCTTTACGTCATTTAAGTAGATTTTGTGAATTCGGCGATACGCTGTCTGACAGACTATGTGAAAAGTTTGTGACAGGTGTAAACAGCCCTGATATTCAAAGAAAGTTGCTGCTCGAGTCAGATCTAAAATTGGAAAAAGCAATACAACTTGCAATGTCATTCCAGCAGTCATCAGATGCGGCGAGATCTTTAGCACCTTCAGAGATCCATGCAGTAAACAGCAGGTTAGTCAATAAACATCAACCCCATCAGAGCATTCCAACTTATGCTAAACAGCCTGCTCGTTCAAATCCTAGATCTAAATCTAGTAATAATTATCAAAAATGTCATCGATGCAAAGGTCCCCATGCATCTCATTGGTGCAAGTTCAAGTTAGCAACTTGTTATAAGTGCGGTAAGCAAGGTCACATTGCCAAGGCCTGCTTTGCAAAGTCTTCGTCTGTTGCTAAATCTAGCCAGTCAAGACAGTACCGCAACCAAAGGCAGCACTATGTTAACTCTCACCAAGACTACCTAACCCAACCAATGAACCACTCTACCTGTGAAAATGCTCAAACTGATTCGCAGCCGGATTTCAACCTGTTCTCTGTGAAATCAATAAGTCATGCTCCCATCAATGTACAAGTTAATATCAACGGTAAGAGCATCAGCTTCCAACTTGACACTGGAGCATCTCTAACAGTCATAACAAAGAAAGAGTTTGACGCTGTCACAGGAGGATCAGTGTCTCTACAGCCGTGTCACAAGTGTCTAACAACATACACTGGTGACAATGTTCCGGTAATAGGAGAGTGTATGGTTCATGTAAGTTATAATGGTCAAAGTGTTAAACTTCATCTTCTTGTGGTTGAAGGAAATGGACCGCCATTACTAGGTAGGAACTGGTTAAGTGATCTTAAGTTAAATTGGGAGAGTATTTGTTCATTGAAGAATGTAAAAGAATCTAGTCTTACTTCACTAGATAAAGTTATATCTGAAAATAAATGTGTTTTTGGTAACTCAGGTTTACTAAATGATAGAACAGTGAAGTTAAGCATTAAAGATACAAATCCAAGATACTGCAAAGCTAGAGTTCCACCTTATGCAATGAGGAATAAAATTGAAAATGAGCTAAGTAGATTGGAATCTAATGGCATCATAAAGAAGGTAGACTATTCCGATTGGGCGACACCCATTGTGCCAGTGTTAAAGAAGGATGGTTCTATAAGAATTTGTGGAGATTATAAAACTACACTGAATAAGCAAATAGAGCTAAATAGGTACCCTATACCTAACATTGAGGAAATTTCTTTGAATTTGGCAGGAGGAGACAAATTCACTGAATTAGACTTTAGTCATGCTTACACTCAACTAGAACTGCATCCAGATTCAAAAGTCTATACGACAATAAACACACATAAAGGACTCTACCAATATGAAAGACTATGTTTTGGCATATCATCTAGCCCTGGAATTTTCCAAGCGGTCATGGACAGTATTTTTAAGGATATTCCAAATGTTTGTGTGTACTTTGACAATGTGTACATAACTGGTAAGAATGACACTGAACATCTTAAAACACTAGATAAAGTATTGAAAATTGTTGGTGAAAAAGGTTTAAAGATAAACAAAGATAAATGTCAATTCATGCTGACAGAAATTAGTTTTCTTGGTTATATATTGAGCAAACAAGGCATCAGACCTCAACCTGAGAAAACAAAAGCCATTAAAGAAGCACCCAAACCTGAAAATACCCAACAACTAAGAGCTTTTTTGGGCTTGATAAATTACTATGCAAAGTTCATAGGGAATCTGTCTGGTAAACTATCACCACTGTACAAGCTGCTACAGAAAAATGCAACTTGGCACTGGGGTAAACAACAAGAAGCTGCTTTTAATACAGCAAAAGAGGCTTTGTCTGCTGACACCTTACTAACTCACTATGACCCAGGGAAAAGACTTGTATTGACATGTGATGCTTCACCAGATGGTGTAGGAGCAGTCTGGTCCCGCATGGATGAGAAGGGTGACAGACCCATTGCTTTTGCCAGTAGATCTTTGAACCAGGCTGAGAAAAATTATTCTCAGTTAGATAGGCAAGGCTTAGGCATCATTTTTGGTGTTAAGAAATTTCATAAGTTTCTGTTTGGTAGGAAGTTCACCATCTTTACAGATCATAAACCATTGCTAGGTTTATTTGGAGAAAACAAAACCCTACCTGAGCATGCCTCACCAAGAATTCAAAGATGGGCTATCACACTAACTGCATACAATTATGAATTGAAATACAAACCTGGATCTGAGAATAGTGCAGATAGTCTTAGTAGATTACCTTTAAAAAACCAAAGCCTGAGCTATGTACCAGAAGATGTTTTTGTTCTCTTCACTATCATGGATAACTCCAATATAAATGTGAATGATATTAAGAGAGAAACACAAAAAGATGAGTGCTTAATAAAAGTATATGAGTACTGTAAGAATGGTTGGCCTGAAGAGTCTGTGAATGATGACTTAAGGCCATATTAAATAAGAAATAAAAACCCTTTGTGAAGATAATATAAAAGATGGAGAAGATGCAGTCCATTATCAGTTAGAGTTGCCTAAACAAAGTATTTGTAACTTAATAAATGATTATGGTGATATGGCAATTTCAAATGTTTTAAAGAGAATACATTAGTAAGAAGGAATGTGATCATCAAACAACTTTGCTAACATCATTAGCACTTACAGAAACTAAAAGGGTAACATCAAAAGAAAAGAGCAAAGATTTTTGCCATTGAATACACCCACTTCAAATACTGGATCACAGTTGCAAAGTGATATTGTCCAGGATATTACTTTTAAACAGTATGTTTGGTTACGAAAAAGCACTATCAGATTACCTGAGGAAATTGATCAATCAAAGAAATCTATGCCAGTTAAGGATCTGAATAATAGCATAATACTTTCAGATGCCAATTAAAAAAATTAAATCATGACAAACATTCATTGAAAGAGAATTTGGTGTTAATGAGAATGTGTATCTAAGAAATTATGGGAAAAAGGAAAAATGGATACCAGGTCAAATTGTTCAATGTACAGGACCTATGTCTTATAAAGTTAAAAATAACTTGTGCAGATAATAAGTGTGAATCTGTCAATCCCACCAAGTCTGATCAGTTCACACCAACTCAGTTTGTTCCACAACCAAGTTCTGTTGATATGAGTGAATCAAGTTGTCTAGAGTCAGAAAATGTAAATTCTGGAGTTAATGATTTAAATCCTAGACCTCCTGAGATAGAGAATCCAGATGGTCAGAATCTTGAGTCACCAAATCAGAAGCCACTGAGAAGGTCAAGCAGGACAATCAAAGTCCCAAATAAGTTAGACCTATGATTTTAAGGGTCAAAAGGACTTTGACATCATTGTTTTGTATCTTGATTATGTTGTAGCATATTGTGCATTGTTTGCAAGGATGTAATCTACCATAGTGTTCATGTTACAATATAATTGGTGATTTTAGGATACTATCAATTGTTCTATTGAGAGATGTGTTATTGTGTTCTAAGGGTAAAGGGATGTAATAGATTGAGTTAATTGTGAGGTCAAGGGAACTCACTCTCTGTATTAGTATTATATTTATATTGTTATCTTGAGTGATGTCCCTTACATGTTGTTATCTATATATAGTTGTCTCTGGCCACTTCTTCCTCTTCCTCTCTTTGCAACATGGCGTCTGTACATAATAAAGACTGTTAACAACCAACGCGGCTTCTCGTCAGTCATTACAATCCACGTCAAACGAAATTTGAGTAAATTAACATAAAATATTAACGATTAAGCTAAATAAAAATGGACTGATAGTTCACTTGTCTTTCTATAATCGAGGCCTATTATAAACTTACTACGTTTTAGAATTCAGTTTTTTAGTTGACCATGTGTTATTTGGTAATGTTCTGTTTTATCTACATTTAGTATGACCAATAACAGAAATCAAAATATTATTGAGGCCGAAGCATATTTAATATTTATTTTACTCTCCAGATCTAGAATCTAGATAGGCTAGATCTAATTTCTATTATTACTTACTGCCCAGTGGCCGTAGTCTTACCGGCTATTAGTTTATTACTACTAGAATTTAGACATAAATAATCTATTATTTTTTCAAAAGTAAGTTGTAGCCCAGTTGTAGGATTACTGGTCTGGTTACACTAAAAAACTAAAACTTAAAAAGCAAAATATTCAAATGCCTGCAGTACTGTCACGTCTCTGTGACCTGTGTTCTGTCTCTCATCACTCACTCTCATCATCAGACTTATCATTAATCACTGTAATCAGTAGGCCCTAATCACTGTGATTAAAACATAAAAATTAAAAGGGGACGTTCCTTATTTTATTCTTGCTGGAAATATGCCCAGAATCAGATTACACAAACGAAAAAAATTAAGGATAGTAACCCCTCATTCAGGATTCTATATAGATCTATATGATCATTAGGCCTAAAAAAAAATACATTTGAAATTAAAATCCTTCCCAAAACATACTTATATAACTTACTTAGGCATTTGGCAGTATCGAGCCTACAACATCTGGCACAACAGCCACATGTAGTTCCAGCTACAAGCCTTGTACTTGTATTGGTAAAGTGCGAAACGTTAAATCATGGCTAAATGAAATGGCGAAGCTGCAAGAAAGGGGCTAAAGTGGTGGGTTACGTGACATTATTGTCTCGCAATTTACCACCACCCGATACTTATGCTGGGTGGTGGTAAAATGCTAAGATATCTGCAAAAATTTTAGCAGACTCGATTTAAAGTGATGAAGATTTCATAGATGTTTTCTATATATAGTTAAAACTTCTGATTTTTCAGTCGAGACCCTATATATATATATATATATATATATATATATATATATATATATATATATATATATATATATATATATATATATATATATATATATATATATATATATATATATATACTAGCCCTTGGTACCCGTTACACGTGAATTATCTATCGGTCTATGTATTTTTAATGGTATACATTTTTTAGAAGAATATTTCATAAAATAGTTACTGGTCAAAACGCAATGTGCTTTACTACACGTTTAACGATATTAGTGACAAAGCAAAGAGATAACTAAATAGCAAAAAGTCCAACAGATTTAAAATAACATTGGCTTCTAATACCTATTAAAAAAAATAAAACCAAATTATAATAATTATATACATAATTAGTCAACACAACACCAAATTAAAAATGCACGCATTGATTAAAAGACTTAAATGACTCCGTTAAAAACCGGACTTTTCAATGGTATTTATGTTGTTTTTTTAAAGTAATTTGTATTAGTTTTGGCCGAGGAAATTGTATACATTTCACAAATTACGTCTCGATAAGTAAATCTATAGATCTAAATCAAATTGTAATGAAATAGTTCATTTCTTCTTATTCTTAATTTGGAAGATGACGCCATGGGTTTTGTGTACTATCCGTAGTTCAAACATGTGGCGTGTGACGTCATTGTTTATTGCGTTCTTTTCAAAACAATGAACACTTTTCTCTTTGCATAATTAAAATTGTGTTTCTACATTCAAATATTCCTTCATTTGTATTTTTTTTTCAACAAAAGTCTGTATCAAGTTCTCCATATATCGCTGAAGATTCTGATGTGATATCCTGCGAAAATATTTTGCGGACAGAGAGAGAGAGAAGTGTGCACATGGGTTTTTATATATTAGGATATATATATATATATATATATATATATATATATATATATATATATATATATATATATATATATATATATATATATATATATATATTTGCACTTATACATATATATATATATATATATATATATATATATATATATATATATATATATATATATATATATATATATATATATATATATATATATACACATATATATGTATATATAATGAAAACTAGATAAAAAAAGAACAACATACAAAACTCGTGATAGTGATATAGGCCACATGCTTGTTTAGTTTAAAGCAAAAAAAAATAAGCATCCAAGCAAAACTTTTTTTCGCAATTTACCACATCGCAGTTTCGCGTCTCGCAATTCCCAACTCCCTTGTATAGCATTTTTATCCTTAATTGTATTGAAAACAGTTACAGCTGGAAATAGCCCTTATATGGCTATACCCTATCTATTTGAAATAGAATAGATCTACCTAGATTTTCTAGATCAGATCTAGAAGTAGTAGAATCAAGCTAACTAGCAATAGTAGAGTGGCATATAGTTAGGCCTAGTTTAGTTTAAATTATTTTAAGTAGACCTAGATCAGATTATTAAGATAATAAAAATCTAGATTGTAGGCAGTCTTTACTCAAGGATTGGATAATTTAAAATCAACACTTTGAATCCGTGGCAGAACAAGTCACCCACCAGTAGTTCAGATTTAGAATAAATTATAGAAGAATCTATTTCCAGTCTACTAATACCTATTATTCTATTAAGTCAATTTCAGTATACTTATTCTTTTACGTTCAAGTTAAACTTTCTTCAAGTAAAAGTAAAATTAAGAGAGAAAAAAGCAATCTTTTTTTACAGTCAGGGCTTGCGTTATGATAGTATTATTTTCATAATCTGCTAGTAAATCGACTTCATCATATTAGCCATTAGCTCTCCCTTAGAAATTATAAAAAATAAACAACTGCTGCCTTGCACATTGTTCTTGGAAGGTGAGGTCACAGGCTATGAAAGCACATCCAGAAAGAAAAGCAGGCTAGTTAAAGAAAATTGTCCATACAGCTCATAAAATCTTGACAGTTAATATTTGATTATGTTGAGAGGGAATTCCCTCCAACAAGAGTAAACAAGAAGAAAGAACCTGGGTTTGGCATGTTTAACAACGCTAGTAGATATCATTTCCTTTTTAAAAAATGATGCAGGGCCTAATTTTTAACTTTTAGTTCCTCAGGCTGTGAAGTGAAAATGTCTCTAAAAACCAAGATTTGTTCTTGGCCTAAAATCTTACTGTTTGGTGACTCCATTACTCAGGTAATTGGAAATGCAACAAATTTTGTAAAACTATCAAGTTCCCTTTAGGGTCCATGGGGCAAGTGAAGTAGAGTTCACCTGTTTCTGTGACCTCCGCATATGAAGGAATATGCTCAGCCAACTTTACTTTCCCTTACATGAGTTGGTTACCAATCACCAATCAGAGCTGGGTGGACTCGAGGGCATACTAGTAAATTGAACCCGGATTTGAACTTGAGGCTTGCTTGTTAGCATTCTAGCGTTCTACTGCTAGACCACAAGCCCCCCCCCCCCTCCCCCTGTGAAATTGAAGAGTCAAAATTTTGCATAAGACCTATTAAAAAAAGAATCATCTCCTGAGACCATTTGTTATAAACTCTGACAACCTTTTTGTTCTTTATCTTTCTGGGTGCATATTGACTGCCAGGTTATTAGTATTACTCCTGTAAGTTTTAATCTAAAGATAAACTTTTATAGTAGTGTTAAAATCAAATAGTAGTCTATTGAGTACTCATATTTTCAATATGTTTTAAGTATTGTTTCAGTAAAGAAGGTTGTTGGGGTTCTTTGCTTTCAGACCACCTACAAAGGTAAGAGAGGCTGGTCTTAAGATATTTCTCTTTTAAATATGCATACAAGTCAGGTACATTGTCATTAAATAAATGTAACTGTCAAGAAAAGTAACAACTTTTGATAAAAAAGTGTATGGAATTAAATTTAAATTAGCCACAGATATACATTTTTATATGAACAAATATTTGTCTCCAGGCGTTGTGATATAGTGAACAGAGGATTCTCTGGCTACAATACTCGCTACTGTAAAATTATTTTACCATCGATTTTAAATGAGACCTTGGCCAAGGAGACTGCAGCCATGACAATATTTCTAGGAGCAAATGATTCAAACGATGGTGATCTAAATCCTAGACAGCATGTTCCATTAGAGGAGTATCAACAGAATCTAAAAGAAATGGTCAACTTTGCTATGGTGGGATTTATTTCTATAGCTTTAGTCCACTTTGCTGTGGTGGGGTTTTGTTCTATACCTCTAAAAGTTATGTTTTTTTTTTTAAACCTCACAACTTTGTATTAATTATGTTTTTAATTAGAATTATTTATAAAACAGTGTCATTTACCCTTGTAATGAATACCTATGCTCAAGTTATGACAAACGAGGGTTATTTTATTTTTCTCACAGTCTCAAGGCATCAACAGAGAGAAGATCATTTTAATTTCACCACCAGCATTTCATGTCACTGACTGGGCCATTGTTTGTAAATCAAGAGGTCAGATTTCAGCATAACAATGTAGTGTCTAGCTGTAAATTAGAACACAAAATCTATTTAAAATGTATAAATTTGCCTACATGTACTTTTTAATTTGCTCCTGTAATCTCAATAAATTTAAATGGACAGCAACTCCAAAATCAAACAACTGCTGCCTTGCAGATTGTTCTTGGGTTGACAAAAGCTATATGAGCAAATCCAGAAAGAAAAGCAGGCAGAAATTTAGGTCAACAAACCAAATGGTGCATAATTAATGTTAACACATATAATTGCTCAATGGTGTTGGAGGATATCACCTTTAATATATCATATTACAATTAGGGACAAAGAAGATTCTTATTTTTATGAGCTTCTTAAATTTTGTTATTTGTTACCATAACTGCCATCATTATTTTGATCACATCATCTTTTTCCTTTCATGCTCAAAGCACATGTGAACACCACAGAAAGCTCCTTCCACTATACTATTCCATTTATATTTTCTAGAAAAATTACACAAATTTTTTAACTATTGAAGGTAAACCAGTCAGCAAAAACAACACAACTACAGGTGTTTATGCTCAAGCTTGTTCTAAAGTGGCTGAGGAGTTAGGGACCAAGTATGTTGATCTGTATAACGCCATGATGAAAAGGGAGGTAAGTCACACACTATTACTCTAATAGAGTGATTAACTTTTTGTTTAAGGACATTACTATTTGTAAATTCTCAGTTCTAATGATAGTAAATGTATAAATATAATTAAAAGTGAGAGATCTATGCCTTTTTAAAATAGAAAAACAACCTACTAATTATTGTTATAATAAAGTACTCATCAGTGTGACAAGTAGAAATATCTATTCTTATTTCTCTCTTTATAGGATTTCTGTGTATATTTGAACGATGGGCTGCATTTATCAGAAAAGGGGAGCCAACTGTTGTTTGATTTGATTAAACCAAATATAGACAAGTTAACCTCTGACTTGCCCACTGTATGGTTCCCATTTTGGGATGAAGTTGATGAAAGCAATATAGAGAAAAGTCTATTAAATTTTTAGAACATTACAGTTATATTTGTAAATAATATAAAAATGGCATTATGTAATCTGCTTCATGGTATCAGGGTACATGTTTTCTGGAAGTTTTTTAATGAAATGTTCTTGTTCATCTTGGGTTTTGTTTTTAAATAAAGGGAGATAAAATGGCAGGTTTTTACCTTGTGATGTGTGCCTAATCAAAATGTGATCTTAAGTTGTTTAAAATATATTTTTAATGTTTTCTTATACAAAACTGCTGAATTGTACATTTTTCAAAATATTAAAAGAGCTTATTCACTGTTACATCTTGCTTACTTTAAAAATGTGCTTTAATCTTAGTTGATGTGATTTTATATGGATACATTTTGGTTTGTTGAGTGTTAAGTTCTTGAAACTAAGTCACATGACACCAACAAAAAAACAAACTCCAATAAGTTTGATTGTATTTTATAATGTAACGATATGGATAAAACTTAATTCTTTAATCAACAAAGCAAAGAGATTAACAATGTTTCCTTCTTGCAAGCAAAATATGGACATAAAATAGGTGGCCGATTTTATTTAAGGCAATCACAAAAATTTTTTATATGTATTCTTTTTGACATAAAAAGTATTCTGGGATCTCTGTATGAAATATTAGAAAATTGTTTACTGTAAGCAAAGAGTATGACCTGAACAGGAAACACTACATTAAACATGATTAACATTTTTGTTTTTTTTTATTTTGCCTTTAAGTTAAAGCAGATTAATAAACAATTTAACGTCCTAAACAAAGAACAATTTATTATATTGTAGTACATTCAACATTTTCATGTAAACCATGAGTACTCAACCATACCGCTTCCATGAGTATTAAATAACTTTCACTCATTTTGTATCTCTCTTCCCATACATTCAAACACATCACAAAAACAGGATTGGACTCATTTATGGTCATCAGAAATCAAATAATCAACAGCACCATTTATATGCAAACAATTAGCTTGTGTGCACTGCTATTCTGTTTTATAAATGTTAAATATTTTAAAACCCAATACCAGAATATCCAAAATATGTTTGATTGATAATTAACTTTTTATTAATGATATTAATTAAGATTATACAAAACAGCTTGTCCAAGATAACTCATACATTCTCAAATAATTGTGTTGATTTACAGTGTCTTTGATAATGTCTTGGTTAAGCTCATGTATTAAGAAAAGAAATAAATAAACCAAACAATAAAAGTAAGTCAATAAAATGTAGGCTATATGAAGTAGTACACTGAATATAGCTTTAACGTAAAGTCAATATGCAAGGATTTATAGTAAAACTATTATAAAAAAAATTCTGTGTGCATATGCAGAGGTCAACTTTTGTTGAGTGCTTGATTTGCATATGCAGTGTTAAAATCAGGATTCAACAAAACAGTACTAGTATATACAAGACAAACACTATAAAGTTTACACAACTAAAGAGTAGGATTATCTAGGGTAAAAATGATTTTTTAAAAACAGTCTTAAAAAAAAAAATTTTCAGTAGCAAAATATTTTTTTCTTATTAAAGAATTATCTATTTTATACTAAAACTAAATGGATTTAAAAAAAAATGCCAATAAAAAATTAGTATAGGCCTACTTCTATAGACAATAAAATATAACTAATGTTTAGACAAGGTGCGTATCATACAACATTTAACATCAATAATTGCATATCATCTTTCACCTGAAAGCTCCAAGTTTTTGGTCCAAACTTATTTTGGCGAATAAAACAAACTTTTTAATGTATCAACTAATAGTTTTAAACTGACTTTTATATTCTTGAGTAGCAATAAGTGATATTAAGATAAATACTGGTACTTGGGATTATTTAATTGAACTAGGGCCACCGGATAAAGAAATATTAGCAGATGACTAGTTCATTGTGTTGGAACAAAATGACAAGGCTTGGTACACATAGCAGAAGTAAATATGTACAGTTCTATAGCACACATTGACTTAAAAAGGCAAATTAAATTTTTACTTTGCTGAGTTATCTTTTAAATCAAGAGTAGCTCCCCCTTATTGATGGAGCTGAATACATTTGATATAAAGATAGTCTGAGCATTCTAGTGTGGTCAAGGGCAATAAATCAGCCTGTGGAGGGCGTCATTCTGTAGAATATATAAACATTCCCAAGCCTTGTCCATGCATCATTTTCCTTATAAATCCAAATAGGTGGTTCCTAACAACCACATTTTAAAATTAAAATTTTTTAAAAAGATTTTTCTGCTTGTTGATCAAAGTTTATTACATTTTAATTCAACACAGTAATTTCAGTGTAGCTTGTAGTGGGTTTTATGAGCCAATAGATGAATCTCAAACATTCAAATATGTTTTAGCTTTTTCTGATTGTTTCCCCTTACTACTGCCATGATATTCTACTATCTCAAACCTCTATAAGTAGAAAAGATTTGGCACTTGCATTTATTTACAAGCATATATTGAGAAACCAATACACTGTTGTATTAAGAGGGATTATACGTTTAATATGAACTAATTTACATAATACAACTATTATGCATAAGATATTAAGCTTATCTATAATACATCCGAATATACAAGGAATATTTGATAAATACACAAGAACACATGTTTAGCAGTCACTGAATAAAAAATCTGGCATACAACAGCTGATGCCAGTTTGTAAAATCAGTTTGTCAAAACTACTTGAACATGGAGTAATAAAAACTTTGTAAAAACACATCACAAATTGTCAATGGCACTGTTTAGCTTTCAAGCTTAAATGCAAAGAAAACAGCATTTGTTATGTATCTGATTTGGTTGGTCTCACACAGATAATAACAGTACAAAAATCATACTAGTAGCTGTATGTATATATTGCATCCATGGCATTGAACCACATTTAAAAAAAAACAACTGATTCTGCTCTTTGAAATAACCTACAATGTGTAACTAGAAATAAAAACTAAAAATAAACAAAAATTAAATTAAGATCGTATTTATGATACAATATATAAAACTGATTATACAATACTTAGTTGCTTCCTACCACCAAAATCAGATTTTTTTCTCCATTATCTATGTACAATATAAAATGGCATGCAAAAAGTCTACAGTTTCTATAATCAGCTGTTTGCAAGCAGGCCAGATCAGGACTCTATGATATCCAATCGATTTCCTTTCCTAGCTATTTTAATACTTCCATTAGCAACATCTCCTTGAGTTTTTTTAAATGAAACTTCAACTTTTGAGCCTTTGAAATCTGCATTTAGTCTGAGAATGTAAAAGTTTGCAAAAGTTAAGAAAAAAAAAAATGGTAGAAAAAAAAAATTCTAAGGTATTTAAATACAAACACTGAAACTTTAGGGTCAATTTTCAGTATAACCATTAAATAAGGTAACTTTTTCCACCACATTTATACCTGTGAAAATCTTGGTACTAATGATAAATCCACAGGTAGTTTACAAAATGAATTAGTAAAACTCAGGCTCCCTTTTTCCATTAACCTTATGTAAAAAAAGTAAAGTTTCCCTTTCAACCTGACGGTCTATGGGGCAAGTGAAGTAGAGTTCACTTGTTTCTGTGACCTCGGCATATGAAGAGATAATGTGGTCAGCACTATGCCTTTCCTTAACGTGAGTTAAGATACCCATCAGAGTTGGGTGGACTCAGGGATGGTCTACTGACTTGAACCCGAATTCGCACTCAAGACTTACGGGTTAGCAGTCCAGCTCTGTACCGCTAGACCACTCCGTCCCATAACCTTATGTATTTTCAGCTTGTTAGTCCATACAAGAAATCCACTAAATCAAAGTACTTACTGTGGTACAATTTGAACCTCAGGTGGTTTCCCAACACTGTTCTGTATGACCATCTGTGTTTTGGTCACTGCCTCAATCAGGTGGGTTGTGCTGAATATAAAGTCCCCTTTCTTGGAAGCAATCTCTCCGTTCTCCTGTGGGGAGAAATCAGGCAGAATTTTTATTCTATAATATCAATGTGCTGTCTATAATAATACATGACACTTTTCTAGACAGTGATTAAATGTTTGCAATTGAGGATTTTGTACAAATTCAGTAAGTGCTAATGTAACGTTTGCACAGTGATTTGCACATAATTTTTATTCTATAATCAATGTGCCGTATAGAATAATATATACCATTTTTCTTGACAGTGATTAAATGTTTACAATTGAAGATTTTGTACGAATTCAGTAAGTGCTAATTTAACATGTTTGCACAGTCATTTGCACAGAATTTTTATTCTATAATCAATGTGCCGTATAGAATAATATATGACATCTTTCTAGACAGTGATTAAATGTTTGTAATTGAGGATTTTGTACAAATTCAGTGAATGCTTATGTAACGTGTTTACACGGTGAGTGCTTATGTAAAGTGTTTGCAATGTAGGTCGACTAATCTCATAAGTTAAAAGGGTAAATAATTTTAATCAATATATTTTTTTTAAAATGTATGGCAAGCAACATTTATAATGAACATTCATGCTTTCTCTTTTTGATAAGCCCTTAAAAAAGTATTGTAACATTTATAAGAGATTTTCTTAAAAAAAAAATAAACAGATAGAATATAACATGCAGAATATAACTTAACGAGCCGGCCCGCGGCATAACATACGCCGCTATTTAGTTGTTTCTAATTTTCAATAATTCATAATTTGTGAATTCGACAGTACCAACGCTGACACTGAAAATATTTCTTTAAAACACTATAAGTAGCTCGTTAAGGACCATAACCCCCCCCCCCCCCCCTTCCTTCCCTACCCCCTCCCCCCCCCCTACGTTTAAAATCGTTGGCTCTGCTTGTAAACATTTAGAGTGAACACAGCTCACTAAAACCATGTAGGGGTGGGGAGGTAGGGAGAGCGTTTGCAGCTTGTTTTCTAACGGCTCGAAGAAGAGAATTATATATATAGATTAAAATTATGTTTTTTTTTTATAAATTTCCTGCAAACAGAAGAACAAACATTGATAGTGTTATAAAGTTCTACTGGAAAAAGTAGCTGCACAATAACTTTTGGAAACAATTACAGCATTCACATGAAAATGTATTTCATTTAATTGTTGTGATGGTTTTATATTCATGCATATTTTAAAACATTGTTAGCATCTGAAAGCAAATGAAAATCTTAAACAGCATGCTGTCCATGTGAAATAAAGTGAACATTTTAATTTTTAATCAACACCAAGCAAGCGCCATCATTTGAATTAGATTTTTAAATTTTTTTTACTGTCATAAAGATCACAACAATAATATCAAGGGAAGGCAAAATGCTTGCCATGGGCAACAACTCACTCTTCCATCTTCTTCATCTTCACCATTTTCCTCTTCCTCATCTTCCTCTTTTAGCTGTTGGTGGTAGGTTTAAGCAACGAGATCAAAGTTTTAAAATCAAATTATATTGACGGAAAAGAAAATTTTTGTTCTTTTAGAATTCAAAGTTTCATAACTTGTATAGGAATAAATGCTATATAAGTGGTGTTTAAATATTGCTCAAATTTCCTGCTTGAATACTTGCGAATACTAGAATTTTTAGTTATAAATATTATTTATAGCTTCAAAAAGTTCTTGAACTATAGTATAAGTAGAAAACTGGAAAAAAAAAACCAGTGGAAAAATGTTTCACTTGATTTTTAAAGACAGGTTAATAACTCTGAAGAATGAAATAGATATATTTTTCAAACTTGAATCAATTCTCTACAACTCTCATGTAAATAGCGTAATGATGTTATCTGTTATTTCTATCAAAATGCAGTAGAAAAATAACGTGGGTTAATAAGTGGTCCACATAATACCAGGGTAATGTACTTGTATAATTGTAGCAGGCTAACAACACTAAATAATGTTACAGTGTGAAACACCATACAGGAATAGTCAATATAACAATGGAAACTGCGTTGTGGAGGATACATTGTTAAGTACATTACAAGCACTAAAGTAGTATTCACATTATTAACTGAGATGTTTTCAAAAGTAATATCCATATTACTGTCATTATATTTTTATGCTTATCACTACGCTGATGTAAAACAAAAAAACTATTAGGATGAAAATGCAGATTCAGTTTGATATGATAGAATAAGAGTATTTTGGAACTTTACATGCTACTTTAGCTAGAGTTAAAGTATTAAAAAATGTTAGCAAATGTTAAAATATTTCAATTCAGTTTAAAAAACATGGCAAGTTATGTTGTGTAATAAGAGGAAATTTTAGTACCATATGCACATATTGACTATAATGTTGTAGAATTCTTACCTTATTCAAATGAAAAATACAAAGGTTGTCTTTATAAGGAGAAACAGAGATCTTGTTGATCATGGTGAGGGGAATCCTGTACTTTAATGCTAGAGACTTGTTGTCCAGCACAAGTAAGGCTTGTGTGCTCAAGACTAGAAGTTTGCCCACCATCTGTGGATACAGTAGGAAAATTTGAGATTACAGAGTTAGAAGTTTGCCTACCATCTGTGGATACAGTAGGAAAATTGGAGATTACAGAGTTAGAAGTTTGCCTACCATCTGTGGATACAGTAGGGGAATACAGAGTTAGAAGTTTGCCTACCATCTGTTGATACAGTAGGGGAATACAGAGTTAGAAGTTTGCCTACCATCTGTTGATACAGTAGGAAAATTTGAGATTACAGAGTTAGAAGTTTGCCTACCATCTGTTGATACAGTAGGGGAATACAGAGTTAGAAGTTTGCCTACCATCTGTTGATACAGTAGGAAAATTTGAGATTACAGAGTTAGAAGTTTGCCTACCATCTGTTGATACAGTACTGGGTTATAGATTTTTTTTTTGGGCGGCATATTTAGGTGAAGATATTTAACCATTACTTTCCCCTATTTAGGCCAGATATCTATTAAAGCTGGGTAGACTCTGAGGCCACCTAAAGACTAGAGAAATGTTTAAAATCTAAACAAAAGATATAAAATGATTCCCAAAGGTTAGGATTTTTTTATCCATTGGCAAAAAGGCTATTTATATTACACAAGCAGTATTTATATAACTTTTATTGTTGAAAAAAATCCTTACAATAGATGATAATCGTTATCACAGTTGCCATAATCTCAGGTATGATCTACTTGCCCTACCCTAAGTATGATCTACTTGCCCTACCCTAAGTATGATCTAATTGCCCTACCCTAGTATGATCTACTTGTCCTACACTAACTATGATCTACTTGTCCTACCCTAACATGATCTACTTGCCCTACCCTAAGTATGATCTACTTGCCCTACCCTAAGTATGATCTACTTGCCCTACCCTAAGTATGATCTACTTGTCCTACCCCAAGTATGATCTACTTGTCCTACCCTAAGTATGATCTACTTGCCCTACCCTAAGTATGATCTACTTGCCCTACCCTAAGTATGATCTACTTGCCCTACCCTAAGTATGATCTACTTGTCCTACCCTAACATGATCTACTTGTCCTACCCTTAGTATGATCTACTTGTCCTACCCTTAGTATGATCTACTTGCCCTACCCTAAGTATGATCTACTTGTCCTACCCTAAGTATGATCTACTTGTCCTACCCTAAGTATGATCTACTTGCCCTACCCTAAGTATGATCTACTTGCCCTACCCTAAGTATGATCTACTTGCCCTACCCTAAGTATGATCTACTTGCCCTACCCCAAGTATGATCTACTTGTCCTACCCTAAGTATGATCTACTTGCCCTACCCTAAGTATGATCTACTTGCCCTACCCTAAGTATGATCTACTTGCCCTACCTTAAGTATGATCTACTTGTCCTACCCTAACATGATCTACTTGTCCTACCCCAAGTATGATCTACTTGCCCTACCCCAAGTATAATCTACTTGCCCTACCCCAAGTATGATCTACTTGCCCTACCCCAAGTATGATCTACTTGCCCTACCCCAAGTATGATCTACTTGCCCTACCCCAAGTATGATCTACTTGCCCTACCCCAAGTATGATCTACTTGCCCTACCCTAAGTATGATCTACTTGCCCAACCCTAAGTATGATCTACTTGCCCTACCTTAAGTATGATCTTCTTGCCCTACCTTAAGTATGATCTACTTGCCCTACCCAAAGTATGATCTACTTGTCCTACCCGAAGTATGATCTACTTGTCCTACCCCAAGTATGATCTACTTGCCCTACCCCAAGTATGATCTACTTGCCCCACCCTAAGTATGATCTACTTGCCCTACCCTAAGTATGATCTACTTGCCCTACCCTAAGTATGACCTACTTGTCCTACCCTAAGTATGATCTACTTGTCCTACCCTAAGTATGATCTACTTGCAGTTTACCTTGCCATCAGCTCTGTTAACCTTGCTAATCTGTTCTGCGAAAATGATGGAGGCATCATGGGTGGATTTGTAGAGTTTCTGCCACTTGACATTTGACTTGAGGTCCACATAATCTCCTTGGAATGGCTGAGACACACTGCGGAAAGAGTCAGCATTATAAATAACACACATAGATAGGATACTTTAGGAATTAAACTCTAGCTAATGCAAAAACAATTTAAATCAACTGTAAGTAATGTTCACAGTTCAAAGGACTGATGTCATTAAGATAGAATGATGTGAGGTCACAAAACTAGTTAAATTAAAATGATAGCTGCAGTGAGGATTATGCAAGTAATAATAAAACAGGTAGTGTTAGTATCCGCATAAGTTAAAAACAATTACATGTACAATGGAACCTGAATTGTCTTCAATTTGTGTGGATACTAATACTATCTATTTTATCACTAAACTAGCTCATAACTGTCTAAAAGGTGATTAAAATGGTGACAAATCTTCATTAAAATTGTATACCTATATTAAGCTATTTAAAGTCTTTTCCAAAAGTAATGATAAATTAGCTGGAATACCTTGATGGATAGAGTTCTTTTTTGCCCTTGAACAAATTGCTTGCAATCATTTTTTCTTTCAACTTCTCTTTCATTGTTGGATCCAATCGCCTTCTGTATTTAGCACACTAGTGAAAAAAACATTTGTTGAGTGCCAGTAACAGTGCCATTTAAATTATTAAAATGAGTGAAGTGATGATAATATATTTTGTATTAAACCAAGCTGTGAATGATTATGAGATGTGATGTCTAGTGCCTGTGACTCACCCTCCAGCGATGAAATATTTTACGCAGCTCATCAGAAGTGGATTTAAACCTGTTGGGTGGTGTTGGCCAGTCTTCACTGACTGGACTCATAGAGGGCAGGTTCTCTTTCAGCTTTAGTAAATACTGTTTTTTCTGATGAGAAGAAGATTTCAGAGATTTTTAATTACATTATAATAAAATATATCAAAGAGAACTTTGATCTAGCTTGATCAAGGCAGAATAATATTATGTGTAGGCTATAATGTGATGTTAAGGTTTATTAATGATTGTTGAAGGGAAGGTGCACTTTCAATGTAATGATTAACAAATTTAAAACATCTTTAGCTTTTAATTTTATGAGCCAACGATGGGTGATCCCAAAAATCGTAAACTATTTTGGTTGTCATGCAAAACCTCAACAATCTTAGTCTACCATATTTTTTGAGTCAATTTTCAAAACCCTAAAGATATATAAATGTCAATTTACAACCACCATTTTAAACAAATGTATTGCTTGTATTGTTTTGAAAACTTATTTCAATTTGGTGTTTACTTAGGTTTGTAGTAGACTGAAGCTGCATTATTCTACATTTATAAATCAAGGTTTTGAATTTTGAACAACTCAAATATCGTGATACAGGTAATATAAACTAGAATAAGTATGTAGTACATGTATGTAATAAAAAACCATTCAAAAGGTCTGAAAATGGTAATAATAGTTTTTTAAACTACATTTAAGAATAATTTACATGTTTTTTAATTACAGAAATGGTTCTCAGTTATAAAACAATCAAGAGTTGAAAATTAGTATCTAAATTCTAATGTAAACAAGTTTGTAACTTACTAAGGCAGTGATCATAAACTGTGACACTTTAGGCCCTGCTATCCTCCTGAACTTTGGCCTGTACTGCTGTCTGACCTTCCACCCGCGGAAGTATTTATGGATGACCTGATTGGCCCACAGAACTTTCCTCTCATGTTTCATGGCAGCAAGAAGCTTACGAGCCTGAAATTTAAAGCAACGTTTTTTTAAAAACATATCCTAAAGTTTAAACTTCCAACCGTCTCTGAAACAAAGATGTATCCACTTCCTGTGTAAATGTTTGCATTTTAGGTGGGCTCATGAAAGAAAAATTAAGAAAGATTATCTAGTATGAACATGCATTCATTACTTTAAGAAAAACTTTGGACTTCATACCACCTTGTTGTGCATGTTACCTTTTTAAAATGTTCAAAAAATTATAATTTTATTACTTAGCACTTATTGAAAGATAATGATTACCACATTTTAAACCCTTTTGAACTTTTTAAACCCTTTTGAACTTTTTAAACCCTTTTGAACTTTTTAAACCCTTTTGAACTATTTACAAAATGAAGGTTTTATCACTAAAAAATTTTAATAAACATTTAGCACATGTTTATAGATTGATTATTTACAATTTCCTTTTAGAATTTTTAAACGCTTTTTAAATACATTTTCCTATTGAGAGTTGAAAATTATTATAAGCTTCTGTTATGTTTAACCAACAGTTTATGATTAACAATATAGATCTGATTCAAGATTGAATATTTACAAGGATAAAATACAAACATAAGAAGCATTATAACCATTATGGACCCATGAGTGTTTTTCCAACTACCAGTTTTGTCATTATGTTTTAGGATATGCAAAACAATTATTTAGTTACTTATAATCTTTGGTAATGACATTTTTTTTTATATCTACAAATAGTAAACAAATGATAAATAATTATAACATGCACACTGTAAAAAATTAATTTTACAATGAATTATGTACTTTAAATTTTCAAAAATTGTAACAAAATAATGTAAGGAAATAAAAAAACACATAATATATTGCATTAGCAAAATTAACATTCTAATCTAAATCACTACAATAAAATGAAATTTCATTTAAATAAGATGCAATAAAATTCAGACACAAAAAAATGTGTATTTCTAGTAAACAATGCAAGCAAAATTGAAGTAATAATGAAAATGAATGAAACAAAAAATGATTTTATAAATGGTCAATTACTTCTTATCTGCTTTAGTTAATAATAATACTTTTATTTACTGCCCTATTGGTAATTCCTGAAACATTTTTAAAAGCGTTCTTGTCCTTTCCATCATTAAGAAAAATGTGAATGATCATTCTTTCCTAACAATAAAATACATTAAATTCCTGAAACACTTGAAAACAAGTTCATGCCATTTCCAATAACAACAATGCGTATGACCATTCTTTGCTAACAATAAAATAAACTTAAAATATGCACAGTAAAAAACAAAAACATAGCTAACATAATTCTCCTACAATTAATAAAAAAAAATGCGCTTTCTATATCTTCATAGCTGAATAAAATGAAAAGAAATGTAGCTGTTAGTATATTCTAGTCTACTGAGGGAGGGGGGGGGGGGGGGTGTCAAAGAACCGTAGATCCTATTAGCCAACTGTTGGTTTAAATTCTTTATACTTGGGTATAAATAAGGATTATACTTTATATAAAGGTATACAATCCATCATCCAAGTTAAAACTACTCTGTTAATATATGGTGGTTGTTTTAGATTTTCCTTTTAATTTTTATATAGTGGGAACATCAATCATTTCATCCACCATAGTAAAATACAGCCCTAATACATTTTGTCCAGGCAATAGGTGCATATACAGTCATGCTACAGAGATGCATTCACAGGAACTGAGATGATGACACGTATAGCAAGCAGAATCTTGTGAGGCCTTCAGGTTAATTTGTGAGGGTTAGAGGTTACATTCGTGCATTAGTCTGGTGCGGTAGGGGTGGGATTAGTCGAGGAGGATATAGGACACTGAGTTGAAGAAATGGTGCAAACCTTCCAGCCGAGGTAGGTTTTGCGTATGATGGTCGCACATATGTTGATATATTTCTCGTGCTTCAGCTGAGCAAGCAAACAACGCGCCTGCAGCGATGGGGGTGGAAAAAAATGTAATACAATGGCAGAATTAATTTCAGTTAGATACAAAGTGAAGGCTGATAAATTTTCACATGCAAACTATTTACACATTATTATACATTTTTAACTTAGTTTTTAATGTGCAATTACATGTTATCACATTGATTGACATATATAATTATACAAATGTTTCAATTTTTAAGTCTAAATAAAAGTACTAGCATTAAAAACAGTTAAAATGAATGAAAAAGTAGATTTCCAAATTTCATCCAATATCTTTAATAAACACATACATCTGATCTTTTATTTTTAAAATTGAAAATTTTTAACTAATAATCTATTTTGTTTATGATATAAACTTTATATAATGATAATAATACTGTACAATAATAAAATAAAAAATTATATGAATGATGAACATGTTAGTAGTATCATATGAATAATAATAAGTAATGAGACATATAATGGGGAGGGAACACCATGCTTTTCCCCCCGCAGAAATGTTAGTAAAGGATGGTAAGGTTAACCAGGTACTGAATACAAACTTGTCTGCTAACATGGCTGATATAAGGTATTCAATATTTCTTGCAGTCTACCATGGGGAAAATGTGGTCAATATTGTTACTGGGGTGTACAGATTGTTAAAATAACCATCTTAAAAACTCCACCCTGACACAAACATTTTTATTCAATATAATTATTCTCTTGTTAAAAATATACAGCCAGGCTATATTATAAAAACCCATTAATATGGTAGATATATTTGCACCATAATTTTTCTTGAATTATTTATGTCTGACAAAACATGAAAGTATGTTTATATAAAATTGAAAACATACAAAATCACCTGCTGTTAAAATCACCCGCTGTTAAACAAGTAAATGTGGGCTATGAAAAATAGGTGTTGTAGCCTACAAATATTTGTATCCCTGGTTAGCCTATCCCAACATAAAAACAAAAAACTTAATTTAAAAGAAGTAGTCTAATAACAAATGTTATTTACAGACATAACATATTGATAGACAATGTTTCATGCAGTGAACTTAAGTTCACTTCAGAGCTTCATGTATTCAAAGCATCATTAATTTATTCCAGCAGTACAATAGAACATTTTTTTCCTGAGACTTCTATTTATATTTTAGCTTAAAACATCTATGTTGTTCAGTGTTGTAGCTTTTTATAATTTTAAAATTGATGTAATTTTAAATGATGATTAAAACTAAAGCTGTTTAAGCTAGGTAGAGCCTAATTTATGGAAAAATTCTGCTTGTTTCCTACCACTTCACATCCAAATGTTTGAAGTAATAATAAAAAGTGAAATGATAGTAACTATACAATTCTTTGTGCACTATATTTAAAATCTAGAATGCTTTTAAATGCTGCATAATAAATAATAATGTTGACCAATTGTTTGAAAAGGTAAATAATGAAATATTCAGGGAATGAAAAATCAAAAATAAAAACTACAGTAAATTTGATAAATGTATTAAAATATTATTCTATTAACTTTTGTTACTTTAAAATAAAATATTTTAAAACAGTTAATTTTATTGCTTAAAATATGTGCATCAATTAGAACTTTGAGGGTTAGTGTAAACACACAACAGCACAGAAAGACACAAATTATTTGCTGAAATTTCAGGATGAAGAAGAAAAAAAGGAAATTGCAGTGTTCTGGATTTTAAAAATTATTCAACTGTTACAAGCAAGAGAAATAGGCTTCTTAAAATACTGGCAAGTAAAATGTTTTCTTAAAAATTAGAAATTTTAAAGTATTCTGAAATACAACAATAAATAAGTCCCCAACCTCCAGTTTATAATTATTCAGTTAACAATACATAAACAGCCAGTAATTAATTAAATATTAGAAAATAGATAAGCAGAAAATATCAAAAGCTGATTATAATTGAGAGCGATGCAGGGATAGAGATACACAGTAAGCCTGCACACCTTATAGCCACGATAGATTTTGCATATATACGTAGCTGCCTCTTCCCTCCGCTTGGCTAATTTCAGTTCTCGTAAAATGACGCGGGCCTAAAATAACAATTGGCAAGATGTGTTTGAGTGAGTTATAAAATAGCTATGTAAGCAAGGCGGTATGCTAGTGATGTATAGAAAGTTCAAAGTTGAGTAATCTCAGAAATGCTTGTCTGAAATATACTTAAACAAATATAAAGACTATGTTCCATTACATAATGTATAAAATGATAAATATGTGATGCTATTTTTTTAAATATGTGAATAGTCTGCAGTGTGTTTTTTCATACATGTATTGAAGAAAATAGTTAAGAAAGAAATGTTTAATAGCTGTGGATATAATTACACTGGAGAGAAGAAGGCAAATATAAGACATCTAGGTGGGAAAAAAAAGTAATTATCATCACTCTTCATGCTTAGCAAAGTACTAAAGTCTTAGAACAAATTTCATGCAATGATTTTTTTTTCTTGCGGAAGGCTGAAATGCAGAAATATTTCCAAAACAGTACGTCATTAAACAGGTGTAAATCTAGGTAACGGCAAGAGTAACACTAGAACCATCAAATGTAGCAAAACATAACTACACTTTGAAATATTCCAAATACAATCAACAAAACTACAATATCAAAATTTTTTTAAAAAACGTGAAATATTTAAAAATCACAATTACTGGAAGCTTAGAACTACATAAACCTGTTTCTAATAATATTTTAATTTTTTTTTTGTAAATAGTAAATTTGATAAAGATTTCAACTGTTGATTAAAATACAAGACTTTTATAAATAACTCTGGAAAGTTTGAAACAATGCTGTTTAAACTTTAAATATAGATCTATTTAATGCAAGTGAAGGTATTTTGAGTATAAATATATACAAAAAGCAAGGTTGATAATAGAACAAGTATTGTAACATAGTGGAACATTACCTTCCATCCTCTTGTGTAGCATTGAATGATCAGGGTTGATTTCTTGATTTGTTTGTATCTCTTATGAGCCTGGACAATAAAAACAATGACAACTTCTTTAGATCTTTTTCATTTTAAATACAAACTTATGACATATTTAATATAAATGGTGCAAAAAAATAAATATCAAGGGATATTAACTACAAGAATAAATTCGATATAAAAAACAGAAAGTAAAGGTTATTTTTATGAAACTCCCTTCCAGGAACAATACAAGTTGCATTTCTATTAATCAATCTGTTAGGTCAGAACTTTTTTATAATCTAAATTACTTTTATATTGCTATTTTAGTAAACTTTTAGTATGTTTTAGAAAGTTGCAGAACACTTAATTCTAGCACAACTTTATGTTGCAGCTACATCATAAACAAGTCCCAAAAACAACTTACCCAGTATCCCCTAAATGTTGCAGCAACATTTAAAACAAATCTCAAAGCCACTTACCCAGTATCACCTAAATGTTGCAGCAACATTTAAAACAAATCTCAAAGCCACTTACCCAGTATCCCCTAAATGTTGCAGCAACATTTAAAACAAATCTCAAAGCCACTTACCCAGTATCACCTAAATGTTGCAGCAACATTTAAAACAAATCTCAAAGCCACTTACCCAGTATCCCTAAATGTTGCAGCAACATTTAAAACAAATCTCAAAGCCACTTACCCAGTACCCCCTAAATGTTGCAACATTTAAAACAAATCTCAAAGCCACTTACCCAGTACCCCCTAAATGTTGCAGCAACATTTAAACAAATCTCAAAGCCACTTACCCAGTATCCCCTAAATGTTGCAGCAACATTTAAAACAAATCTCAAAGCCACTTACCCAGTATCCCCTAAATGTTGCAGCAACATTTAAAACAAATCTCAAAGCCACTTACCCAGTATCCCTAAATGTTGCACCAACATTTTAAACAAATCTCAAAGCCACTTACCCAGTATCCCTAAATGTTGCAACATTTAAAACAAATCTCAAAGCCACTTACCCAGTATCCCTAAATGTTGCAGCAACATTTAAAACAAATCTCAAAGCCACTTACCCAGTACCCCCTAAATGTTGCAGCAACATTTAAAACAAATCTCAAAGCCACTTACCCAGTATCCCTAAATGTTGCAGCAACATTTAAAACAAATCTCAAAGCCACTTACCCAGTATCCCTAAATGTTGCAACATTTAAAACAAATCTCAAAGACACTTACCCAGTATCCCCTAAATGTTGCAGCAACATTTAAAACAAATCTCAAAGCCACTTACCCAGTAGCCCCTAAATGTTGCAACAACATTTAAAACAAATCTCAAAGCCACTTACCCAGTATCCCCTAAATGTTGCAGAAATAATAATCTGGCTAGCTTTCATCCTCTGATACAATTTCTGGTGTTTATACTTGAGCCATGTTGCTCTGATCAGTGTAGCTAAGTGATGCATGCGCTCACGTCTTCTCTCCTCCATGTCAAAAAGCTGTATGAGAACATTTGTGTTAGCTTGAAAAATGTTTAATTACATTATAAGTAAGATTTACATACCACACTGTTGATTTCTCTATAACAAACTATGGTTTAGGGATTAAAAAATCATTAGTAAAGATATATAAGAGACAAGCATACAGCGGGCCTACCTATATTTAAATATTCTTAAAATACAAATAATATTCTGAATTTTATTAAAACATGAGCAGGACACTAAAATAATGTTTCTAGATTTTATAATGCCTGTATTGCTGTTATCATCAAGGTTAGGATTAGGCTCGGGACTATGGTGAAGTATTTGTGTAGATTAATGTTACGATGGTTATCAATTGCACGTTCAGGAGTTGGGTTGTTGTTAGATTAGAACTAACGTTATGATCATGGTTAATAAGTGGAAATACTAGCTAGGGTAATGGCATGGTTGGTTGCTAAAGAACACAAGATTTCTAAACTTAATGTCCCTTAGCTCAATCTGACTGAAGTTAAAAAAAATACAGAAGACTGGATACAGAACTGATAACCCACAGCATCCACTTATTTGCAGAGGTTACAGAAACAAACTCTACTTCACCCGCGCTATTCCCCCTTCAAGAACCAAATGGTAACTTAAGTTTTTCTCACTCTAACTCTAGCTATAAAATAGCATCAAGTCAGAAGCATTCATGTTTGAAAAAACTAAAATTTAAATTCTGTATAATCAACTAAGTACAAAAGACAGTTACCAGTCTGGGATTTCTGATGAATATCTTTGTCTTGCCAAAAGCGTATTCTTCTGTGGCGATGTTCTGGGCCTGGAGAATTTTCTCCACCCCGTCCCTGGGGTCACCAGTCCAGTGTGGCCAGGTCTCTGAGGCCAGCATTTTGTAGCGAAACAGGAAGAGAGGGTAGGCTTGACGAAAGGCGTAACCAGCTCTCCTCACTCGAACATTTTCCATCAGCCTGGTGAAAAGAAATTATGGTGATTAAGACACAGGTACAACATACAGCAATGATTATCATTGTATGACTTTATAGTAGTTTATAACTTAGTAGTAGTGAATATTTAAAGAGTTAGTTATATTATATTAGTGAAAAAATTTTTTATATTGGCAAATGGTTGTTGTGCCAATCTAGCATAAAGGTGTTATAAAACCTGTTATCTTTTAACTAGCTAATAGGAACAGACAAATAATGCTTATTTGAATTAGAAATTAATTCAGATTTGTCCCATTAAAAATGTACTGACCCTAAATATCTAACTTGATGTTTGACAATTTCTCTGCTTAATGTATTGGCCTGTTTGAAGTCATTTGGCTGGAGAGAAGAAAGTTAAAATTTGATTTGGATATGCTTAACATGTATTTTGCTGTTAGAAATATCAAAATAGTAAAAAATTAATAAAAATACAATCCAAAATCATTCCAATTCAATTAAATATAGTACAGAAATTTTCAAAATTTCAAATTTACTTCATTTTCTGCAGCAGTATAATTTACTATTCCATTGAAACGGAAAAGTTTTTTATTTATAGTACAACACTGTTTAGTTGAGTTTGTTCCTTACCTTGATACACCGGATGTAGTTTGGATTCTTTGAGCTAAGATTTTTCATCAACTCTGTTACTGAAGTCTAGACAGGTAAAAAAATCTCTTAGGACATTTTACAATAATTTCTTTAAATGTAATTGTATTTGTTTGTTGCAAGCATCTTGAGAAGTTCAAGTTTTAGCAAAATGTATAAAAAAAGTTAAAAAGATAATTTGATTAAATATTCTTACTTTAAACTGTGATCCTGCAGTTATTGGCCTTTTCAAGGAGTTTTCTGTGGGTTTACCTGAAAAATAATTTTTCTTCTGTAACTAAATGAAATCTAAAATAAAAAGTAACAATATTATATCCCAAATAATGCCAACACAACAATACAAAACCTAAATAGTGTTTGGATGTTTGACTTATAAAACAAAAATGGCTACCTTCTGGGAAAAGATCCTGCAGCATTGGGTGTGAACATTGAAACATGGCTTGTGATAAGTCACGAAACAAAAGATCATTGTTTTTGTCAATAAAACCTGAGATTTTGTACAAAACCTGGAGGGAAAGTTCAAACAAATACAAGTCAGAATTAGGTGAACCACTTCAATTCAAATAAATACAAGTTCAGGACAAAAATTAACATATAAAGTTTTAATAAGGAGTACAGCAGAGTGACGGTCTATGGGGCAAGTGAAGTAGAGTTCACTTGTTTCTGTGACCTCGGCATATGAAGAGATAGTGTGGTCAGCACTATGCCCAGCCGCCTTTACTCTCCCTAACGTGAGTTAGGTACCCATCAGAGTTGGGTGGACTCAGGGACGGTCTACTGACTTGAACCCGGATTCGAACTTGAGACCCCATAGACTGTCAGGTTTGAAAGGGAAACTTTACAGCAGAGTGAAGTTTAAACAAAGTGTTCTTTCCAGACATGACACTCATTAGGTGAGAAGGGTTTATCTGTTTCTCTGGGAGCCTGTTATATTTTCCCAAAAGACACTAGCCTAAAAGACAAGTTTGCCCAAAAACAGCCTTCGGATATATGACTTTTGTAATTGTAACATTGGGACAAATATCCATTCAGGAAAATGACCATCGGGCAAATGTCTGATTGGACTTTGAGCATTTTTTCATAGACAAGCTTCTGCATATAAAACTGATTGTGGGGTCAGCTCTAAGCCAAGCTGATTTTAATTTCCCCAACCTGTGTCTGGTTCTTACCAGAACTGCTCAATTCCAGGACAAAATATTCAACATTTTCCAAAATCCAACTTTGGGTTTTTATTTAGTAGATGCATGTATTGTACAAGTATTTTCTATTTATTACATATGCCCAAATCATAAACAAGTATACTCTTTAAAATGGTCATGAAAATAGTGATATTGATATAAATAACATCAGAATAACTAACTAATTATAATTAATACAGAAGCTTACGTTTCCAGCATAATGGCGCAATCTGAAAGCATCATGGGGCAAGGATTTATCAGACTGGTTTTTCTTGCACTTCCTGCTCTCATAGTGGGGGTGGTTGGCACACCTGTTGTCCAGTTTGTCCAAGAAAGTTTGGTCTGAAGTGTTTCCTGGTCGAAGGCACTCTTCATCCAGTAAGGCTAAAATTCCAAGGTTTTGCTGAAAATAAAAAAAAAGAATGTATCATTTTCTTAACTGGAAGCATGGTAGGATCATTGTTTATCAAAGTGTTACAACATTTCGAAATCGCCTTAAGATTTGACTTAATTGATGATTTTAACAATATATACCCATAGTATACAAGTCAACAAAAAAAAACTTTGACTGCTAGATACTCACTTTTTCAATCAATTCACAGATAACAGAGTTGTTGAAGTAATCCACATGGATCCACTCTATGCCCTAAGTATTAAACAAAGATATTTAAATAATATGACATTATTTTTAGTAAAAAGTCATGCAAAGTGTACAAGACTATATTAAAAAAAATATTTTTATTAAAAAATAAGAAGATGAAAGATAAAATTAATTTTTATGAGAACTTTAGAGCATATGGATATGTTTCATTGTATTATGACAAGACTTACCTCTTTCACATACTCATCTTGCTCTTCTTTAAGGGTGAGTTCAATAAAAATTTGCTGAAGCTTTTCATTGCAGTAGTTAATGATAAACTGCTCAAAACTATTGTTCTGTATAAACAATAAAAATAGATGTTTTAGTAACTTACATACTTGCAATCATTTTCTTTAAAATATCAAACTTCTCCAAACAATTGTAAAGATGTATGGGTTGTTTCAACAACCATATGTTTAACAGAGTTTTCATTAATAAGAATAAATGCAATAAATGTAGATTAGTTTTTCTCAGTTTAAATGAACTATTGAGAATAAATCAATTAGTTACCAAATTTCCATTTTTTTCTTAAACTGAATATTTCTAAATAAGTACCTCAAAAACTTCAAATCCATAAATGTCCAAGACACCCATCACCTTTGTCCTGGTCTGCAAGTCATCTCTTACCTAAGAAAGAAAAAGGCAGAAAGTAAAAATGCAATTTGTATGTATAACACACATTTTATGATCATTTTTCTAATTAGCAATTTATATCATGGTATGATAATCTGTAAGAATTTTGTGAACTAACTGCAAAACTGCTGTTTCCACACACAGTTTGAATCTACTACATGCATATATATATATATATATATATATATATATATATATATATATATATATATATATATATATATGATGAGATGTATTTTGTTCACTTACTTTTATACTGCTGTTTATTCTCTTAATTAGCCATGTGAAGAGCCGGCTGTATATGGCTTTACACAAAGCATCTCTGGCATACATTGCCTACAGAAAAAAATGTATACAGTACAGAATTGTATTTTTAAAAAAAAATAAGAATTTGAAAAACTACACCACTGCTTTCATTCATAACATTAGTTCTGAGTAAACAACAACCCATAATTTCCAAACCAATAATATCTCATAACTACCACCAACTTTGTCAAATTGATTGTCAAACCTATAATATCCCTTATTTCTCCATAATATCCCATAGCTTTGCCAAACCATAATATCCCATAGTTTCCCCAACCTATATCCATTAGTTTTCCCAACCCATAATATCCCATAGTTTGTAGAAACATGAAGTGTTCTCCAGAAGTAGGGCACTGATGTCACTATCTAATTAAGTTACAAAACTAATTGACATTTAGGATGGTCATCTAGATCTCCCTCCTGGCCAATTAAGATTGCTCTATCTAAATGAAGACACTGTTATTGGATGAGTGACACCAATTAAAAAGAAGCACCTGCTACTACAGCCCTTATAGTATGAATGTCACTAAATCAAGTCTTGAATAAAATAGAGGTAAAGAAATGTGTTCAGACCCTAGTCTTAGATAAAACTATACAATGTCAGGAAGTTGACCTGTTAATAAAAAGGTATCCCTTATGTTGTAATAAAGAAAAAGAATTTAAAAAAAAGGTTACTCACTCCTGCTAAACTCAGGTCGAATTTGACCACGTCAACCTAACTAAAATGTATACCCTATGACCTAATAAGGCAAATGTTTAAAAAATGCAACCTCACACCAGCTAAGCACAGGTCAGTTTTTACAATGTCAACCTTACTGAAATGTATACCCCATGACATAAGATAAATATTTCTTGACCGTGTCAACCTTACTAAAATGTATACCCCATGGCATAAGGTAAATATTTCTTGACCGTGTCAACCTTACTGAAATGTATACCCCATGACATAAGGTAAATATTAATAAAAAGTTAACCCATTTCAGCTTAATTCTTTACCCTGTCAACCTTACTAAAGATATCTCCCTATCATGTAATATGGTAAATGTTTAAAAACGGTAACTCCATCTAAACTCTTGGCTGTTAACCTTGATAAAATGTCCACCCCATGATGTAATAAGGTAAATGTTTATAAAAAGGGTAACTCACTCCAGCTAAGCTCTGGTCAGTTTTGACCATGTCAACCCTACTAGAATGTCTACCCTACGACCTAATAAGGTAAATGTTAATCAAAAAAGGTAACTAACTCCAGCTAAACTCAGGTCAGTTATGACCATGTCAAACCAACTAGAATGTCTCCCTTATGATGTAATAAGGTAAATTTTAATCAAAAAAGGTAACTCACTCCAGCTAAACTCAGGTCAGTCTTGACCGTGTCCCCCCTAGCAGCTACAGTCCTCTGCATCAGAGATCCAGCCAAAATGTCAACAGAGCAGCCCAACAAGTCACAGACCTGATTCACCTCTGGAACAAAATGTAATTGCTATATAATCACCATTTTATCCCATTCAGCCCAGGAAATTTGGGGCAGATGAAGTAGAGTTCACCTGTTTCAACAACCTCTACATAGGAGGAGATATTGTGGTCAGCACTAGCCCAGCCTGCCTCAGTTTCCCAAACTTAAATCAGGCACTCATCAGAGCTGGGTAAACTCAGGGGCGTTCTCCAGACTAGAGCTCAAAATCCGAACTCAAGATTTTTGGGCTAGCAGTCAAAAGCTCTACCATTCAACCAATGCCCTTTGTGTTATAATAGTACATCTAAAGTAACTTGAAATGTCCATTGAATAACAAATAATTTAACCTCTCATTAGAAGTTCAAAATTAAAATGTATTTTCTTACAACTGTACAAAAAAATTGATCTAGTTTAGAGGAAACACCTAATCCATTGGAAAATTTTAATAGTACATTAAGGGTAAGGTCATTTGTATATTTGTGGTAATGCCATTTGTATATAACTGTAAATGCCATTTGAACATTAAGGTTAATACCATTTTTACATTAATGTTAATGTTATTTGTATATTAAGGTTAATGTTATTTGCATATTAAAGTTAATGCAATGCTACAATGAATGCATTACCATTAATGTTGACAACATCACAGCCATCAGTGCCATCTGCATTGATTCTTTCAGCAAACTCCACATTGCCAAGCTTTAGAATACTGGACAACAGCTGGAATACATTGTGGACTTCATCATTCCGGAACCCTATGATCTCCATACCAGTCTGAAACCAAACACAAACATTTTAAAGCACATCTCACTTATTACATAATAGGAAAATATTCTGGGTTTTAAACTTATTTCTCAACTCATTTGGAAATTTTTTTTTCACGATAATAGCTCTAAAATCTCAATTCTTCTTCTTCTTCTTTGTTCTTAATTTTTAGTGTTGGAAGGGATCGAGCCTTATCTGCCAGAGGGTTTGAACTCGAGACTTTTTTTTCAAATTTATCAACCATGAGGTTTTGCCGACTCCACTATGCCTCCATCACAATTAAGGATACATGTCAACTGGTTATGCGCCATTGAGGCCATTGACTCCAATTTCAGCCTGTTTTTCTTTTTGGATTTGCTTCCATAGCCTTTGTCCAACCAAGAACAAACTACAAGGCAGAAGTTGTTTTATTTTGGAGTTGTCTCTCCTAGAAGAGTGGCTGTCCCCAGCTAATGAGCCTCATCTGCCCGAGGGTTCGAACTCGAGACTTTTCGGTTTAGCAACCATGAGCTTTACTGACTCGACCCCTAGGGCTGGTTGATTTCTTGATTATTACTCATTTTAAATAAATTTGTACAAGAAAGCTGAGGGTAAACACTTAACAACACACAAAAAAGCAAAAAAAAAAGAACAACACAGTGGTAACTCTAAAATCTTCATTATCGTAACTCATTTTAAAAATATGTGTACACAATCACAGATGGTTAAATTAAATTAACAGCTCTTAAATTTCAATTGTCATAATTCATTTAAAATTCATGTATACATAAAAAGCACAAAGTAAACAAAAAACAACCTACAGTGACAGCTCTAAAATCTCCAACATCATCCCTTGTGTCCACCTCCACACATCCGCTCTTATTAAGGAAACTGTAGTTCTCAGCACCACGCACAAGTTTAAGGTCATCTGAGCACAATATAAAAAGAAAAGTTAGTCATAGTGGAATAATTTAAAACACTAAAAATGATCAGAGAATATGTGGTAGATCTATATAACTCGAGTTCAAATACAGGTTCAAGTAGTAGAATGTCTCAGAGTCTATCAGCTATGATGGGTACCTAACTCATGATAGGGAAAGTAAAAGCAGCTGGGAATAGTGCTTACTACACTACCCCTTCATATGCTGAAGTCAAAAAAATAGGGGAACTCTACTAGCCCCATGGGCAGTCAGGTTCAAAAAGGGAACTTTACTTTTTAATATACAACTAAAAATAAAATAAATATTAGATGAATACAGACAGGTGAATTTTTGTTTTTCTGGCCCCAATGAAAATATTGTGGACAATATTTAATGTTGTTATTTAAATAAGGAATGGTAATAACATTGTGCACCCATCAAGCACAATACAAAATAGCTCTGGAACACTTCCACTCACCGAGAGAGCTATCTGCCATGCCAGACAACATCTGATAAAAAATATGAAAACTTCTTTCCCCAGGACTCTGAGATGCAACTCTTGACTGTAGAGAAGAATAGCCAGTTAATTTGATGTTTTTGATACAATTTAACTTAAAAAAATTTCATTTTTTTTTTTATTCTAATATTTTATAAATTTTATTTTAAAAAAAACAACATGAGATTGACTTACTTTTTCCAGCAAATCTATAGGAAAGAAAAAATACTTATGTTATAATGGCGCAAAAAATACAATGCATTTTAAAATAGTCTACTTATTTAATAAGAATTTTATTTTTAAATTTACTATTTTACTCCTATTTATAAAACTACATGTGTAATGAAAGAGATGTATCAAATGTTGACTGAAACTTACAATTTGTGATAACACCTCCCACAGGGTCTCCTTTAAAATCAAACTCAATGTCCATGTATTTGCCCTGATTAATAAAACACAGTATTGAACCCTCTCAGCTTCAGAATTTTGTTTAAGAATCTTAACATTAAATATTTTAAATTTTTTATTTTAATCATGTCAGCAAAAAAAAAAAATCTGATGTTAATGTTTTTAACAAAAAAAAATTAAAATGTTTAATAAGGTTGCTAATAAAGTGTTCTTACAAATCTAGATGAGTTGTCATTTCTTGTTGTTTTAGCATTACCAAATGCTGCAGAAAAAAAACATTTAAGAAGTAATTAGTCTTTTTAGCAAACAATTGACTTCAAATAAGTGAAGATATTTGAACTAAGCTTAACAATTTGTTACCTTCTAAAACAGGATTTGACTGCAGCAGTTGCTCTTTGACTCTGTCGATATCTTGTCCCTTGCCTGAGACTTCAGCAACATACTGCATTATCACTTTACTGGCCTCTGCCATACACAAGTCAAACATTATTTAAAAATTGAACCAATCACTTCAGTTGAAAAACTACGAGTTAAAAAAAAAATGAAGTAACTAGATTCTAAACCCTAACATTAATGCCATTGATAACTAAATTCCCTATATTAAAAAAAACAAAACAAGACATACCTGTCTTTCCAGCGCCACTTTCTCCAGAAATGATGATACACTGGTCCAAATTTTTATCTCGCATCGATCTGTAAGCATCATCTGTGATTGCATATCTGTAAAAAATTAAATAAATTATTGTAGTAGCTGTGTTCAAAATTTTTGTTAACACTTAAAAGATAATGTTTGACATTATTATTAAATAGATAAGGCAAAAGCAGATGTTTATAACTATAGTTTTAAAATATTTTTAGGTGTGATATGAAAATATTAGGGTTGGGGACTGCTTTTATTATTTCCTAGACTGCTTCAACAGTCAGTCCACCCTGATCTTGAATGGAGACATGATTCACTGATAAAAATAGTTTCAGATAGGCCCATGATCATGTAAAATGTAATGGCTTAGCAGCTTAGTAAACTAAGGAGTTAGATCTACTTTAAATTTAAAGTTCTACACAATATCATATGACAAGTCACTGAACTTGAGTGAACATATGGCATGGCGCTATTATATAATTATATATTAGGGTGAATTTCCAATCAGAATTTGGTGCTTATTCTGAATATTCAGCTCTTCTTCCCCCAGCTCCCCATTCCCCAACACTTTTTTCTTAAAACTTTCTTTCATGAAAAGAAAAAGCGTTAATCTCAATAATTGCTTCAACACAACTAGTGTAACTCCACTTAAAGTATATTTACTTAATATTAAGTTAATATTGATAAAGGAATATAATTCATATAGATCTACGACGACGAAAAAATATTGAATCTAGTCTAGTCTAGCTGTTTTCCTTGACAACCGCGTGAAAAAAAGTTTTCAGACGAAGATTGTTTATTGATGAGAGTGATGGGCCTTGGTGAACAAAGCTCCCTTACATACAAATGAGGCTACTTGAAAAACAGAACTTTTTAGCGCAATTTCCATTCTGGAGAATTGCGTTTATTAACCCGTCATTTCTGGATGGATGGATGGATGGATGAATGTGTGTCCGCAGCTTTAAGTCGTATCTCCTCCTCAACGAAGCAATATCGATGACTAGTTCCAAAAGCAATTATGTTAAGCAAGTTACGAGGATGAACATAGGCTATAAAAATTCCGGGTTTCTTTCATGGATTTCCCAGAAAAGCCAAAAAATCTCGAAAAAAAGCAGTTTTTGGCCCATATCTCGGCAACCAGACCACTTAGCGACTTGAAACATGTACCAATCGATTCCTGTCATAATTTAGAACAATATTGCCGAAGAAAGTTTTCAAAAATATTCTCTCGTTCGGTCACAAATTTTAAAATTACATAAACACCTACAAACCGATTGTTCTTCTAGCTTGAACGCACCCCAACATTATACGTCAGAGCTATTTTTAGATAACATAAGGAAATTGCGCACAAATGTCACTAGACTTTTTTAATTAACTTGTTTTGTTAACAGGTGGAACAAAATAGATCTCTATGTGTGAAGACGAGTTTGATGTCAAATGTATTGAGGGACGTTGTTGCTATATGAACATAACAAAAACTTATTACAAATCTAAGCTACGGAACTGGTAGTTTTAAATCCCTCTACAAGTAAAAAAATGGTTTAACTATTTGACTGATGTTGATGATGCAATTTATTTACATTATCCACATTGCAATAACGTGCACTTGTGCATGGCATGTATAGCTGTACAAGACGAGACACACAACTTCAAAAGAAAAAAATCACTTTCTCTCAATAAACAAGTTTCTCACTATGTCAGAAACAGGCATAATAGTTATTCTAGAGATGGGGTAATTACTATTTTGAAAAAAAAAAATTACCCAAGATAATAAACCTGGGTTAGGGGGGAGGGTAATGACCAAAGGTCCCCCACCTTTGCGGGTAAGCTAATGTAGGCTGCTACAAATAACTGAAAAATTCGCTTTAATTTAAAATTATCTAATGGATTCTATTTTTAAAGTAGCGTGGCGTGTTTATATTTTACAGCGAATCTTAGCTTCAGCATAATATAGAAACGTTACCATTAATTTTTTTTCTCATCTTCCCAGAGATTGCGGTATCTGGAATAACCAGAAGCTGTAACGAGAGTTCGAGATTACGTGTGAGTTGACGTAATTATGTAAATAGCTACTGCGCCGTTGCTTTGGTATGCTTAGCTATCAAACAATTATGCGTATCGCATGTTTTTGTGACATTTTAACATCGCCGGGGGGGGGGGGGGGGCATGCTATAAACCTGTTGTCTGAAACTACTCTGTTATACTGTTAGCTTGTAGCAATAGGGAGTAGCTTCCCTTGGGTGGGTGAGGAGTACAAATCTAGGTTTTATTTTAGTACATTTCCTAAGGGGGGGGGGGGCATATCGAGCGAAATAGAAAAAAAAAGATGTTGCTTAGAAAAATGTACTTCTATCATTCTTATAATTGCCCTATGTGGGCCTACCAATCTAGTCTTTAATGTTTTTTTTATAAAATCAAAATTGATTCTTGTAAAAACTTCACGAAGCGTTTGCTAGACGTCAGTAATAGTAGGCATGCCACGACTTATAGTAGCCTACTGTATACGTTTGAGAATCCCAAGATTTATCCATTTATTTATATTAAATTCAAATTCCAATACAGCAGATAGGAATGCAAGTAACCACGATATTAAACACAAAAAAACACAACAACAACAAAAAACAACATACTCCTGTGAGTGTAAAAATAATAAGTTTGCATGAATTTTACATTTTTAAAAACTCATAAGGTTGTCTGTATGCCTAATTGAATTAGAAAAAAGTTCCACGACAATTCCAATATTAATTTAGGATAAAAACAATATGGAGTACGTCAGTCTTTACACGTTGGAGCGAGCTAATCAAATTTAACCATTTTTAAGGCATTGTAAAAAAGAAAAAGAAAAGTAACGTAAATTATTGAATAAGCTTGGAGCGGATCAACCACACCATACTTTTAGACTCGCTGTTGAACTCTTTCTTGCTGAAGTTACAAAAGCCAAATCGATTCCTGCTTAGCTTGCAGATTCTCTTGGCTGGGGGACATTATACTGGGGTGATATTTTAGACTGGTCGAACTGCTACGTGCATTATGTCAGACATTAGACGAGCATGTGATGGTAATGAGAAGTAACAAGTGGGGAGGGGAGTTGGCATCAATGGAGTGGGGAGGGAGATTGGGGGCATCTCAGAGGCGTAGCGAGGGGGGGGAGGCGGGAGGACATATGTCCGCCCCCCGACTTTAGGGGGCGCTAACGCCAAAATGGGTTGGAAAACAAATTGAAAGTTTGACGGGGGGGGGGGGTGCAAATCGAAAGTTTGAGGGGGGGGGGGTGGGTGCAAATCGACAGTGTTTGGGGGGGGGGAGGGTTGCGTTGCAAATCGACAATGTTTGGGGGGGGGGGGGTGCAAATCGACAGTTTGAGGGGGGTGCCTCTGGGGCATCTCATCTAAATAAACAGATTTCATTGATTTTTGTGTGTCAAATTGAACTGCAATGTATGTTGGTATTTTGATATTTCTAACATGTGAAATGTTAGAAATACGGAGAATAGTTAAATAGGTACGCACACGGTTTTATAATGAAATGGATGTATGTATAATCGCATATGTAACAATAAAAATTTAATTGTCAGGTTACCTGTGGTGTGGGCCGTGTGTGGTGTGGGCCGTGTGTGGTGGGTGGTGTGGGCCGTGTGTGGTGGGTGGTGTGTTCCGTGTATGGTGGGTGGTGTGGGCCGTGTGTGGTGGGTGGTGTGTTCCTTGTGTGGTGGGTGGTGTGGGCCGTGTATGGTGGGTGGTGTGGGCCGTGTGTGGTGGGTGGTGTGGGCCGTGTGTGGTGGGTGGTGTGGGCCGTGTGTGGTGGGTGGTGTGGGCCGTGTGTGGTGGGTGGTGTGGGCCGTGTGTGGTGGGTGGTGTGGGCCGTGTGTGGTGTGGGCCATGTGTGGTGTGGGCCATGTGTGGTGTGGGCCATGTGTGGTGTGGGCCATGTGTGGTGTGGGCCATGTGTGGTGTGGGCCGTGTGTGGTGTGGGCCGTGTGTGGTGTGGGCCGTGTGTGTTGTGGGCCGTGTGTGTTGTGGGCCAAGTGTTGTGTGGGCCGTGTGTTGTGTGGGCCGTGTGTGGTGTGGGCCGTGTGTGGTGTGGGCCGTGTGTGGTGTGGGCCGTGTGTGGTGTGGGCCGTGTGTGGTGTGGGCCGTGTGTGTTGTGGTGTGGGCCGTGTGTGGTGTGGGCCGTGTGTGGGGTGGGCCGTGTGTGGTGTGGGCCGTGTGCGGTGTGGGCCGTGTGTGGTGTGAGGTGTGGGCCGTGTGAGGTGTGGGCCATGTGTGGTGTGGGCCTTGTGTGGTGTGGGCCGTGTGTTGAGCGGGCCGTGTGTTGAGCGGGCCCTGCGTGGTGTGTTGTGTGGGCCGTGTGTGGTGTGTATAGCGTGAGCTGTTTATATGTGGGCCATGAGGTTCGGGCCATGTGTGGTGTGGGCCATGTGGGGTATGGGGCATGCCATACAAAGCCATGTGCTGAGAACACGTAGCCAGGATCAGTTTGACATTTTAGAAAAACCAACGACTTTACTGTAATAAATAATTTATTCCACGAAAGTAGTTTCCACATATTATCCAAGTATTCCATTTTTACCCACTATATATCTTAATGCTAACATTATCTAGTCGATAAAATAAGTCTAAGTCAGACAACAGAAATGTTTGAGACTAGAGCATTATATAACGATGGCGGAAATGCCCCGCCCTACCAAATCAATTGAGCGTCGTCTACTTGATATTATCATCCAAAATCTTCTAAATCTCGAGTTTTTTAAACTTTACTTCTAGGTCATTTCCCCCGTTCTGTTCGAGTAAAAAAAAAAACGTAGTCGAAATAAATTTTGAACAAAATGATATGTCTATAGTTTCGATAGCCGGCTGACGCAAATAAGTTACCTGTAAAAATTATTTCGTTCGGTCTACTTAAATGGGTAAAATATAATCCGTTTAATAGGTTTAATATCCGATTGATACAATAATTTACAAGTTACAGTTACTATTTTTCTAAAATAATGCCGTATAACTAGATAATTTAAATATAGTACCGATTTTAAACACTAAAAATATTTTTGAAAATAATGTTTCCTGCTTAGAATAATTAACAT